GGAAAATCTGTTACAAACAAGAGGTTTCAATAACGACACATGAAAAGAGTTAGGGATGCGTAGAGTAGGAGGTAGATCCAGCAAATAAGAAACCGGGTTGATCCTCCTCAGTACCCTGTAAGGACCAATGTAACGAGGAGCAAACTTCAAGGAAGGAACTTTCAGGCGAATGTGTCTGGTACACAACCAGACCCTATCACCCGGAGAAAAAATAGGAGCAGGCCGCCTACGCCTATCAGCATGTGACTTAAACACCGCGGAACTACGTTCAAGAATTTGTCGAGTCTGATCCCACAACTTTCTCAGGTTGGCTATATGAATATCAACCGACGGTATACCCTGGGAAGGAGACACCGACGGAAGAACAGTAGGGTTAAAGCCATAGTTCAAGAAAAAGGGGCTATTACGAGTGGAACCACAAACAAGGTTGTTGTGAGCAAACTCCGCCCAAGGAATCAGACCGACCCAGTCATCCTGGTGTTCAGAAACAAAACAACGTAGATATTGCTCAATTTTTTGGTTAGTGCGTTCGGCTGCTCCGTTAGATTGAGGATGATAGGCCGAAGAAAAATTCAGTTTGATGCCCAACTGTGAACAGAAGGATCTCCAAAAACGGGAAATAAATTGGGAACCCCTGTCTGACACAATCTCATTGGGAATACCATGTAAACGGAAAATTTCTCTAGCAAATATCACGGCCAGTTCGGGGGAGGACGGAAGTTTAGGCAAGGGAACGAAATGAGCCATTTTAGTAAACCTGTCAAGGACCGTGAGGATAACTGTATGCCTATTGGAAGCTGGTAGATCAACAATAAAATCCATAGCCAAACAAGCCCAAGGTTTGTTGGGAACGACTAAGGGCTGCAATAAACCACAAGGGAGATCCCGCGGAAGTTTATTCCTGACACAAACATTGCAAGCCTTGACAAAGTCTTCCACATCCCTACGTAAACCGGGCCACCAGAAGTCTTTGGAGATCAGGCAGTAAGTTTTGTGGATGCCGGGGTGACCAGCGATCTTGCTATCGTGGAAACAGCGAATAATGTCCACTTGGAATTTGGGAGACACGAACAAGCGGCCCACAGGAGTACGTTCGGGAGCAAGAGATTGTTCGTTCTGAATATCAGCGAGCAATGGAGAGTGTATTTTGACATTGGTGTTGGCGATAATATTGACTTCAGGAATAATAGGGAACAAAGTATCCTCTGTAGAGGTGGTAGGTTCGTGCTGACGTGACAAAGCGTCTGCCTTAGTGTTCTTAGAACCAGGCCTGTAAGTAAGCACATAATTAAAGTGTGTAAGGAACATAGACCAACGTGCCTGCCTGGCAGATAATCTTTTGGCCTCCCCCATATACGATAAATTTTTGTGGTCAGTCAAGATAGTAACTGGGAGGACGGTGCCCTCTAACAAATGTCTCCATTCCTTTAATGCCATAATGATAGCTAAAAGTTCTCTATCACCAATGTCATATCTCCTTTCAGTGTGTGATAGTTTCTTGTGCAGCGGCTTATCTAAACTTTGTCTTTGGGATAACACTGCGCCTATCCCTGTTTCAGACGCATCAACTTCAAGTAAAAAGGGTAGAGAGGTATCAGGATGAACTAATACAGGTGCTGAGGCAAAAGACTGTTTGAGCGTTTCGAAAGCAGATAAAGCCTCAGTAGACCAGGTTTTGGTATCGGCTCCTTGTTTGGTCATATTAGTGATAGGAGCGATAACAGAGGAGTACCCTTTAATAAAGCGTCTGTAATAATTAGAAAATCCAAGAAATCTTTGTATGGCTTTGAGTCCCTTAGGTAAAGGCCAATCTAAAATCGATTTTAGTTTGGTCGGGTCCATCATAAACCCGTCTTTGGAAATTACGTAACCTAAGAAAGTTACCTGAGACTGGTCAAAGCTACATTTTTTCAATTTACAATACAATCCATGTTGTAAAAGTTTCTGTAATACCTTTCTGACTTGTCTATGATGTGAATTAATGTCTCTAGAATGGATTAGTATATCATCCAAATATACAATTACACATTCATGTTGGAATTCTCTAAGAACTTCATTGATCAAGTCTTGGAAGACGGCCGGGGCGTTACAAAGCCCAAACGGCATTACGGTATACTCATAATGCCCGTAACGGGTATTAAATGCTGTCATCCATTCATCTCCTTGTTTAATTCGCACTAAGTTATATGCTCCTCTTAAGTCAAGTTTAGTAAAAATACTCGAGCCCTTTAGTCTGTCAAAGAGTTCAGTAATCAAAGGAATAGGGTAAGCATTTCTGATAGTAATTTTGTTCAATCCCCGATAGTCTATACAAGGACGTAAGGTACCGTCTTTCTTTTCTACAAAAAAGAAACCCGCCCCCGCCGGAGAAGAAGACTTTCTAATAAATCCCTTGTCTAAATTCTCCTTGATATATTCCTCTAAAACTAAGTTTTCCTTGGTGGATAGAGGGTATACCGTACCCCTGGGAGGCATAGTACCAGGGAAAAGTTTAATAGAACAGTCATAAGACCGGTGGGGAGGTAAAGTATCCGCCTTACCCTTGTCAAATACAGATTTGAGGTCTAGATATTGTAATGGTATCTGAACGTCTGTGGATTGAGAAGTGTTAGCATAAGAGTTTACGGGGCAAACAGAAGTAACTCTCTGCAGACATTCTTCCCTACAACCCATACCCCAAGAAACGATTTCTCCACCCTCCCAGTCAATCTGAGGGTTGTGTCTCTTGAGCCAAGAATATCCTAGAACCACTGGGACTGCCGGGGAGGAAATTAACAGAAGGGAAATCAACTCTTCGTGGAAAATACCAACAGTAAGCTTAACGGGTTCGGTCTCATGGAATATTACTGGTTCAGATAAAGGTCTACCATCTATGGCCTCAACGGCCAAGGGTGTATCTCTCAATTGGAATGGGATACAATGCTTATTAGCGAAAGTTTGGTCTATAAAGCTTTCTGCTGCTCCAGAATCTAATAATGCCATCGTAGAAATAAGCCCCTTTTCCCAAGCTAGAGAGACAGGAATCAGAAGCCTATGGTCTTTTTTATTATGCATAGAGGACAGTAATGAAACACCCAAGGCCCGTCCTCTAAGGGAACTTAGGTGCGAGCGTTTCCCGGACGATTAGGGCAACTAAGACGTAAGTGACCTCTCAGCCCGCAGTATAAACAGAGACCCTCCCTTCTCCTGTACTGTCTCTCAGCCTCAGATAAGCGAGTATTACCTATTTGCATAGGTTCTGGTGGAGTAGGATTATAGGAGTCAGGGTTCTGAAATGAGGGAGCGAGTCTTACAGGAAGTCTAGTAACTCTTTCCCGAGTGTTCTGCCTCTGTCTCATGCGTTCATCTATTCTGGAAATGAAGGATATTAAATCCTCTAAATTTTCCGGAAGTTCTCTTGTGGCAATTTCATCTAAAATTTCATCAGACAACCCATTCAAGAAAACATCCATAAAAGCTTGTTCGTTCCATTTCACTTCTGCTGCCAATGATCTAAACTCTAGAGCATATTCTACAAGGGTCCTATCTTGTTGTTTAAGGCGTAACAGGGATCTGGCCGCATTAATCTTCCTCCCTGGGGGGTCAAAGGTTCTTCTAAAAGCCGTGACAAACGCAGTGTAGTTGTAGACTAAAGGATTGTCATTCTCCCAAAGGGGATTGGCCCATCTAAGTGCTTTATCTATTAGCAGGGTTATAATAAAGCCTACCTTAGCCCTGTCAGTGGGGTAAGCCCGGGGTTGTAGTTCGAAATGTATACTTATCTGGTTTAAAAAACCACGACAAGCATCAGGCGAACCCCCATATCGTAATGGTGACGTGACATGGGAAGATGCGCCTACAGTGGCTACTTCCAAACCAGTACTTAGCGAGTGGCTAGCAGTGGAACGTATTTCTTCAGACTGGGTACTGGAGCGTGTCAACAAAGTTTGTAGCGCTAAAGCCATTTGGTCCATTCTATGGTCCATGGCCTCAAATCTGGGGTCAGGAGGACTAGCACCTGCAGGATCCATCATGGCCCTGTCGTAATGTCAGGAAACTGACAGGGATCCAATACGCAGAGTGCGCACAGAAGGAGGTACGTATACCGGACCTTAGAATGGCCGGACTAACGTAAGGACAAGCAAGAATAGTCAAAAGGTAAGCCGAGGTCAAGGGAGCCGGAGGACAGGTAAGCGAGATACAAGCCGAGTCAAAGGAGAGGAGAGGACAACAGGACAAAAGACAAGCAAGGGTCAAAACCGGAAACACAAGATAAAGAACGCGCTGAGTGACTAGCAAGCTAGAACCACGACAGGGCAATGAGCAGTAGTAAAGGTTTCCTTTAAATACCCTGTACCTAAATAGAGACCACGCCCCCAAAAGGTCCGGAATAGCGGTTCCCGGCACTTTATGCAAATGCCGACGTCATGACGTCGACGCTAGCCGTCGCGTCATAAAAGGGGGAGGAGCTAGCGCGGCCGGCGCGAAAACGGCCGGAATATGCCGAAATGCTAAGGGAAGGGAGCCCCTAAGCAGAGAGGATGTCCTCCCTGGATACATCACCAACAGGTACCCTGACACCCACCCCTTGGAATAAAGATTTCAGACGTTTTTCATCCACCAGAAACTTGTCTCCGGTGTGAATGACTTTCTAGGAAAACGTGCACGCAATTAATCAATCAATTTGGAAAGGAGTATATAGACAAATAATCAAACACTTGATTTGATCCAAAACAGTAGGAAATAAGGGGGAAGATGGGGAGTCACCGTGTCACCCCCTCCCTCACTCTGTCATTGGTCACCCCCCTCACTGTGTCACCCCCTCCCTCCGCCATTAATAACCTCCTCCCTCACTAGACACCCCCTCCCTCCCTCTGTCACTGTGTCACCCCCTCCCTCCTTCACTCTGCCATTAATCATCCCGTCCCTCACTCCTTCATCAGTCACCCCCCCCTCATTGTCTCCCCCTCACTCTGCCACCACTCACCCCTTCCCTCCCTCACTCTGCCAGCTATCACCACCTCCTACACTCTTCCACCTGTCACCTCCCTTGGACAAGTAGATTTTTTTTAAAAAAAATTCCATACCCCTGCACATGCAGACACACACTAACGCTCAATACACATATGCATTCACACTGAAACCATATACAAAAAAAGCACATGTAGTCATCCAGACAGGCACAAGTGCATTCACACAGACTCAAATACAAACATGCATGGATACACAGGTCTTCACAATATACACATCCAAAAGGAATGTCGTTTCAAATGAAAGTTATAGTTAAAGGGATTCTCCAGTGCCAAGAAAACAACTGCAGGACCATGGAGTGCCCCTCTCCCTCCCATCCCCATCCCAAGTTGCTGAAGGGATTAAAATCCCTTCAGTGACTTACCGGAGTCCAACGCCGATGTCCCTTGGCGCTGGTCAGGCTCCGCCTACTCTCCTCCCCGCCAACGTCAGCCGGTGGGGGAGACCTAATTTCGCATTAGTCCTCTCCTTTGGAAAGCATTATTAAATGCTTCCCTATGGAGATTTCGGCGATGCGAGATGTCATCACATAGCGTGAGGACGTCCAGCGTCGCTTAAAACACTTTTAAGAACACAGAAGTCCCTCTAGTGGCTGTCTGATAGCCACTAAAGGAGGACTTAACCCTCCAAGGTAAGTATTGCAGTTTATGAAAACTGCAATAAATTACACTTGCAGGGTTAAGGGTAGTGGGAGTTGGCACCCAGACCACTCCATATATTTGGCCTTCAAAGGGCCTGGGATCTAATTTTGCCCAGGGGCCCCAAAGGCTCTCAGTCCGCCCCTGTTACACGCAGCACAATATGCAGAATACAAACAAAAAAACTACCGGTAATCACTTTGCAATAAACTTCTTTGAAATTGAGTTTCCACTAAATTCCATTCCCTTAACATGGTAATCACACTGTTTATCCAGTTCCTTAATGGCTATTCCTTTATAGCAAAAAAAAAAAAAAAAAAGAAAACAAATTCAAATTGCCAAAAAAACATTTAGGATCGGGCAGGTGATTCTCTAAAATAATCTGGGATGGTACAAAAAGAAAGAATGAAAAGAAAAAAAAAAAGAGAGAGAGAGAAAAATGGTTAAGTTATAGAATGTATTTATATTAAAAGCAAAAGAGAAAATAACAGAGAAATATACTAGGTCTCTAAATAAACAGTGTGTGTGGGTTTCATTGTCCCCAAAAAATAGTAGTTCTGTTTTGTTGAGGTTGCCAAAATGTTTTTCTCAAGTGATAATATATTTAGAATTTCACACTGTAGAGCCAGAGTTGCTGTCTTATGTGTTCACATAAACAAGACTATGTGGTTTGTTCCTGTTGTAGTACCCCAGTATTTGGGAATCAGGGGCTACTACCAAGGTGCTAAATCTTCTTCAAGGAAGATTCAAATTGGTGGACCCGTTACTGTCGAGTAAGGCGTCTCCACATACTCTTCTTGCTTTTTGTGATGCAAAAATTCTAGAGATTACTGGAGATTACCAGCTGACCACTTACAGTCTATCACAGCCGCGATTGTTGGTATGAATTGGTATGGCTTTAAGGAAGTGTGTAATCTCTGCCTTAGCCATTTCTCCGAGATGGGGATTGTCTGTGGGTGGCCAGAAACGATCATTCAATGCTAAACTGCTCGAAAATTGTTTAAATGCCAGGGGACTACAAGCACTGTATCTAATGCAATGAGATGGTCATACTGCCTAGAATGTCTCTTTAAATAGGCTTTCAATAAACTGGTAACAACGCTGTAATTTCACAGTTACCTGAAACGCTTAATCCTTCACAAAAAGTAGATTTAACATTCCACGCTCTGTACTGGCTGTTCCCATGCTTCAAGAGTCAACCCATGCAAGTTCTCCACTCAACAGACAGCCCAATGAGACACACCTACCTGTCTGGGTGGACGGAGTTAGACAAGACAGAGACAAAAACTTGACAGAACTGGGCCAAAACTGACATGGATTGACAGGATAAGGTAGTGGATTACATGATTACTGACCATGATCAGATGCAAAACAGACTACAGTATACTCCACGCAGCCTTTAATCTGTCACCAGCACTTCTCTGTGCAAACAATGTGACAGTCACAACAAATAGTATTTATCAGTGGGGAAAATATCTTCAAAGCCTCTTGTTATGCAATATAAAGAGATATAATGCTGGGCTGCAATCATTTCACTTTAGAAGCACCCATCATCAACCACTTACAGTCACGTTTATATTTTGAAAGAGCTCTATATGAAAGTAACACATTTACCATTAAATATATAGTCTGTGAACTATGTGACCATTGACATCTTGATGTGGCTTTTCAGAAAATAGTGCTCCCTAATTCAAAATTGTCCCCCCATACACTAATATATCAGAGTCAGACTGTTAACAGCAATGGATTATTATATTGGCAATGTGATTCTTGTTTATCAGGAAATCACCCACACCCAATAAATGTATCCAGGAATATAACCCATTCCTCCCATTCATGTAATAATTATGCGTGGCTTCCATGTGATCATTGTAGATACGATAAGAAAATTCTAAGGGCTACTCCAAACACCATGACCACTTCAGTGATGTGCAGTTTTTCAGTATGAAGGGCTGTATATATGGAGTTTAACCCCTTTGCCGCCATAGGGGGATCTCCCCCTTTGGTAGGGTCATTGGAGCAGCATCACTGGGGTCTCTGCCAATGAATAGCTCGTGGTACGTGACAATTCTGTACAAATTTATATGCGCACTGTCCCAATTTATTGGTTGAATGTGGTCAGTTTACACTCTCAACCAGTGATTGGCGACTGGATAGAAGTGTGTCACCAGTGCTATATGGCACCTCTGAGCCCAGCAGAGACACAGGTCCCATTATTATTTTCCAATTTTACTAATGTGACGTAAAATGGGAAATTCACTTTTAATTCGCAATGAACCCAGGGTTTACGAACAGAAAGGCCCTCTAGGCAACCGAGAGTTGGCAATTAGAGACTTTTTTTTTACCTATTTTGGTCCAACCTTTATTAATTCTGTTTATTTCACTAGAATTCACTGTTTAGGTGAAGAGATGCAATGAGCTTATTCTAATAAAATGACAGTCTAGCGCCAGCAATAACTCCCTATTTTGGAACTTTGTCTTTTATAAAACTATTTTTCTCTATAATGAAACTCCATCAGTTTCATTAAAGAGAAAATAATGAGACTTCCATCAGCCCTCCCATCACATAGTGTGAGACTCCCATCAGCCCTTCCACCCCATAGTGTGACTCTCATTCCCATCAGCCCTCCCACCCCATAGTCTGAGACTCTCACTCCCATCAGCCCTCCCACCCCATAGTCTGAAATTCCCACTCCCATCAGCCCTCCCACCCCATAGTGTGACTCTCATTCCCATCAGCCCTCCCACCCCATAGTCTGAGACTCCCACTCCCATCAGCCCTCCCACCCCATAGTCTGAAATTCCCACTCCCATCAGCCCTCCCACCCCATAGTGTGACTCTCACTCCCATCAGCCCTTCCACCCCATAGTGTGACTCTCACTCCCATCAGCCCTCCAACCACATAGTCTGAGACTCCCATCAGCCCTCTCACTCCTTAGTCTGAGACTCCCACTCCCATCAGCCCTCTCACCCCAGTCTGAGACTCCCACTCCCATCAGCCCTTCCATCAACCAGTGTGAGACTCCCATCCCCATTAACCCTTCCATCCCACAGTGCCAGACTCCCATCAGTCCTTCCATCCCACAGTGCAAGACTCCCATCAGCCCTCCCATGCCACAGTGCCAGACTCCCATCAGCCCTTCCATCCCACAGTGCCAGACTCCCATCAGCCCTTCCATCCCACAGTGCCAGACTCCCATCAGCCCTTCCATCCCACAGTGCCAGACTCCCATCAGCCCTTCCATCCCACAGTGCCAGACTCCCATCAGCCCTTCCATCCCACAGTGTTAGACTCCCCACTACCATCATCCCTCCCATCCCATAGTGTAAAACTCCAACTCCCATCAGCCCTCCCATTCCCTATAATAAAAATCAGCACTCATGGAGGTGGCAAGGGATTAAGAGAATTATAATCTCACAAAAAGATGAGGGTCTGCTCATTGCCCTCCCCTGCCTTAGTACATGGCACTGACAGCAGGCTGTATTTAGACTGTCTTAGTACATGGCACTGACAGCAGGCTGTATTTAGACTGTCTCAGTGACAGCAGGCTGTATTTAGACTGTCTCAGTGACAGCAGGCTGTATTTAGACTGTCTCAGTGCATGGCACTGACAGCAGGCTGTATTTAGACTGTCTCAGTGCATGGCACTGACAGCAGGCTGTATTTAGACTGTCTCAGTGCATGGCACTGACAGCAGGCTGTATTTAGACTGTCTCAGTGCATGGCACTGACAGCAGGCTGTATTTAGACTGTCTCAGTGACAGCAGGCTGTATTTAGACTGTCTCAGTGCATGGCACTGACAGCAGGCTGTATTTAGACTGTCTCAGTGACAGCAGGCTGTATTTAGACTGTCTCAGTGACAGCAGGCTGTATTTAGACTGCCTCAGTGCAGGGCACTGCCAGCAGGCTGTATTTAGACTGTCTCAGTGCAGGGCACTGCCAGCAGGCTGTATTTAGACTGTCTCAGTGCAGGGCACTGCCAGCAGGCTGTATTTAGACTGTCTCAGTGCATGGCACTGCCAGCAGGCTGTATTTAGACTGTCTCAGTGCATGGCACTGCCAGCAGGCTGTATTTAGACTGTCTCAGTGCATGGCACTGCCAGCAGGCTGTATTTAGACTGTCTCAGTGCATGGCACTGCCAGCAGGCTGTATTTAGACTGTCTCAGTACATGGCACTGACAGCAGGCTGTATTTAGACTGTCTCAGTGCATGGCACTGCCAGCAGGCTGTATTTAGACTGTCTCAGTGCATGGCACTGCCAGCAGGCTGTATTTAGACTGTCTCAGTGCATGGCACTGCCAGCAGGCTGTATTTAGACTGTCTCAGTGCATGGCACTGCCAGCAGGCTGTATTTAGACTGTCTCAGTGCAGGGCACTGCCAGCAGGCTGTATTTAGACTGTCTCAGTGCAGGCACTGCCAGCAGGCTGTATTTAGACTGTCTCAGTGCATGGCACTGCCAGCAGGCTGTATTTAGACTGTCTGAGTGCAGGGCACTGACAGCAGGCTGTATTTAGACTGTCTGAGTGCAGGGCACTGACAGCAGGCTGTATTTAGACTGTCTCAGTGACAGCAGGCTGTATTTAGACTGTCTCAGTGACAGCAGGCTGTATTTAGACTGTCTCAGTGCATGGCACTGACAGCAGGCTGTATTTAGACTGATAACCCCCATGCTGTGTAATGACAGCTATAGACTCACTCAGTAAGGTGTCCTCTGTGAGCTGCTCCCCAGCTGGCTCTCCACCAATGCCAACATCCGCAGCTCCTGCTCCAAACTGCCCTCCTTCCCAGATTCAGAGCAGAGCGGGGGCGGGCCGCAATCCCATCCAGCCAATCAGAGCAGCCCCCTCCCTGACTGACACGCCAATCCGCCATCCACAATCCCGCACACGCAGCTTTACAGCGTTCCATGGCTTCTGAGATGGAAGCATGACGTCACTAGTGGGCAGGAAGCCCAGTGCAGCCATAGTTGATTAGGGCACATAAAAAAAAAAAAAAAAAAAATCCCTTATTAATATATACTATAAACACATTGTGGCATTTAGTATATACCATTATTTGACAATGCCATCTAATAAAAAGCATACTTGCTAAAGTTCTTTCTTTTTTTAACTGCGGCTAACAAGTGTACCAACCACATGGGAGCGACCACTATTGGTCTGGCATCAGTGTTATGATGTTTCTGATAATATTATAGGTATTTCCAATGACGCCACTAGCAATGATGGCCGCCGCGGCCTCAGCTGCCCTTACTTGGGTCACATGACGCTCCAGGTCCTGTTGTGTTGTTGTCACGTGACTGGTGCTGTTGCTGGCTAGTTGAGGCTGTGCAGAGCTGGGAGCTGGACGTGCTCAGACAGAGCTCTGTGCTGAGGAAGCTGCAGCCAGGGGGCACTGGGTTACCATTACATCTATTTATAATAATAATATTATTGTATGAGGACCTTTCATCATTTGCAGCATAATCTGACACCACTGTGCATCTCTTTAGAGATTTTTGGAACTTTTATTTATTATAGAGCCTACAGCAAAGGTTTATTTTGACATGTATAATTTTATTTCCTGCACACATGTGCAGTGCAAGGACTTGATGCCAAGACCCATCTCTCTTGAGTTGTGCTTTTTGCTTTCTTGAGGAGTTAAAGCTTGACACTTGTACAGATGAAGCCCATCATGGAGAAATATCAATTAGATGTTTTGATCCTGACTTTAAGTTCTTTGATACAATCTTGAGAAGTATTTTTCTGCTTGGGAATATATTGGGGTGACCCCTTACACCCCTTATAAATTGGGACTATCAAAAACCAAGGGGAGATATGTTGAGAGAGGAGTGCAAAGCTTTATTGGATGCTTTTAATAAAGTGACAGCATGCTACAGACATCTGGTGCTCACTGTAGGTGGTACCTCAGACACCCAAAACCTTCGGGAGGAGCTGAAGAAGACCAGACAGAAAGCCCAAGAGTTAGCAGTGGCCAACAGAAACAAACTTACCAGCACTCTTAAGGACAGAAGCCTGAGTAAGGAAGACAAAGCAGAGTTTGAGCGGCTATGGGTTATATTCTCAACCTGTATGGACCTCTTAGAGACCGATATGAGGAGAGCTCTGGAACTGGGACATGAATTCCCCTTGAACATTCCTAAAAAGCACCTTATACAGACTGGCATGAGTGGGGGTACCTCTGGGGTGGCAGCCCGGGCTATGAGTGTACAAAACATGAAATATGATGCGGAGCACAATATAGATGTGATTGATCTTAAGGATTTGGAAAATGAAATTAACCAGGTGGACGAAATGATGTATGAGATGGAGATGAAGGTCAGCGTTCCTCAGTGGACAGTAGAGGCCAAGCAGAACCCTGGGGCTGAACTTAAATCCACCGTGAGTGCTGGGGCCTCTTCGCCTGGCGTGACCTCTGTAGAAGAACATAAAGTTATCTGTGACCTCAGCAAACTTTTAGCTGTGGTGGTTTTTAGCGCCGTCCTCATTATTGCAATTGTTTTGGCCGTTTGTGTTGTGAAACTCTCCTGAGTCCCGAAGAAAAAAACGGCAATAATCTATTAACGCGTCCAATCCACGACAATGATTAGAGAATTTGGGGACCTGGTACCTAGCATGCTTTTGAGGCTGGCAGGTGAACTAGTATTTTGGTAAAAACACGTCTGTGTAGTATTGCTATTAAAGTGAAAGCTTTTTGGAAAACCAACTTATTCCACTATGTTCCCTCACCCCACTCTGACCCAGTCTTAGCACATTGGCTAACAGTAGCATATAGCATGTAACTATTTGGTATGGATCTCATGGAATTTTTGTATCGCATTAATGTAAATATGCACCGGTGAGGCATCGTCTTGGTGTTGGGTTTCTGATGTGACAATACTCCGTATGGTGTTGATCGAACTATAGGAAAGGCACGATTGTAATATTATAACCACAAAATGCTTCCAGGAAGTTGTTTTTGAAGAGGACCCTTCTGACAATTGTTTCGCATAATATCTCGTTACCAAATGCCATCATTCCATTTGCACTGAACCACTTTTTCCTTAAAACACCAAGTATTGACCTGCTCGTTTCCTTGATAATTGCACTGAACGCCCTTGCGGTTTAAGCAAGGGTTAACGAAACACAAAACGTAAGCACAACTTGAGTTTGCATTTTGGTAGCACGATCGACAGAAGCAATTGTTTAGGGAGGAGGAGGGCTTATTCACTAAAGAACAAATTGTAGTAATTTTAAAAACGGAATTGCAATATGTAGGCTACAATCGCTGATTTTGTTGTATTCGCGGCTCATCTTTTTTAGCCTACGTTTTGCAAATCCTGTTTACAATTTGCAATTTATTGAATAAACCACTTAGTATTAGATCTTGTCTTCCTATGGTGGTGTAAAAGCACTCTTACAATCAATACTTTGTCTGTCTGTACAGTTCTCCACTTTTCTGCGTGTATATATACACTATCTGTCAGGACAGGGTTTATGGCATCCTAAGTATCCATGCTCCGTATCTGAGTGTTTCACAATATTCATAGGAGACTTGGGCACAAATTGTTATATAACCATGAGATGGCTGCGTCAGCATTGTGCAGATTTTTGGCAGGGAGCTTGTTCGAAGTCAAACCACTTACAAGGAGATCAGTGTCCCTATATAGCACAAAACGATTGGTTTCGTATCTGTTCTCTTCATAGTATTTCCTGTATAAAATGCACTAATGGCTATATGCTTGCTACTGGGCTTTAAAATATACTCATAAAATATATTAATCAATAGAAGAGGCTGAGGCACTTTGCAACAGTTTGATTCCCATGTCAGTAGTCTGCAATATCTGGTTTATTTAATCACATCGCCAGAAATTAAACAAAAATCTGACTTTTTTTACAGGTATTGGGCTAGCATTAATTTGGCATGTTTTCACTTATAGTGATCATTAGCATATTTACGATATGGGTCTTAGTGAAACCAACAAAAAAAAAAAGCTGTTAATTGTGGGGTGGTTTACTATATGGACCTGATTTTAACATTTTGATTGTTACAGGACTGGTCTTCTGGAAAGACATAAACAGGGTATTTTATGCATATTAACTATTTTGTTTTCCCATGATTCCATTCGGCATTGAACATGCGCTAGTATCAGGTAGCCAATATGACTATTTTGATTTCCTGGCTGTGGATTTTCCCAGGTTAAGTCCCCATTATTGTCCGTGCTAGCAAAAACGTGCAGTTTGAAATACGATTCCACAATATGAATCTCCAGAGCGTCGTGATTATCGCTATAACAGAAATGACACTACTGTCTTTCTGGTTACTGCAATAAAGGCAGCTGTTTAACTGCAGAAGTGCCTCCTCCATGCTTTGCCACAACGATATCAAGAGAGGAATCATGGGAAGGCTTAGGTGATAATAAAATCAATGTATCAAATTACTCCGTCCCCAGTTTATTTGCTGAGTGAAATATTCAAAATGGCAGCACTCACTGTCTACTATTCACTAGCCATGCCAGTGATATACATTTCATTTTTATATACTGTTGCTTGAAAATTAAAACAATAATAATAATAATTTTTACTGGAATTAACACACTCTGTGAAAGCTTAGGTAACCATGTATAGGTGTCCCTTTAATTGTCCAAATTTACTAAGAAACTGCATGTTTATGATTAGGTGTATTACAAAACCTCACTATCTGCCACCGTATTTGACACGTTTGATTAGGTTCAGCATTGAGATTTCTAATCATTTAACGATCCAGTTTTCCTTGGAGATGAAGTCAAACAATATAAATCTTTCTTACACACCGAGCTTCTGGCGCACAGATATTTATGATCTGATTATTTTATATAATGGACCTTTTTTTCCCACTAAAACAGGGATTGAAAAGAACTGCAAATTTTAGACCAAAATAACTGAGCTGATATAATAGCAGAATTGAAGAATTGTATAGGCCTAACATTTTCAACTGTCAAGTATCCACAAGTCTGGATTTTGTGAATAATAGGAAAACATTTGTTATATATATATTTATTTTTGTAATTTTTTTTTTTGTAATTTTCTTTTTTAATGTAATTTATAAGTCACTTCTGCTTGCGTGTCATACCTCCCAACATTTCACATGGACAAAGAGGGACACTTTAATTCTAGGGGTGTGAGTAAGGACATGACCAAGGGCGGGGCTCTTCTGAGATATCTTAGGTGACTTACAAAGAACAATTTTTGCAACTAAAATGGAATTTAGAACATTAGAACAAGAACAATGCATCTTATTCACACAAACTGATTTCTAAACACATTTATTGTAGTTTAAAGACACTTTACTGGGAGTATTATTGCTGTGGAGCTCTGTTACTGAGACACACCAACAATATGGAGCTCCTAGAAAAGAGGGACATTAGGATAGAAAAGAGGGACTGAGGGATTGGGTCCTAAAATAGGGACTGTGCCTCTGAAATAGGGAGACTTAGGAGGTATATATCAATATAAGGAGTTACATTATCCAGTGTATAATGCCTGCCTGCATTTATTTTTAGCATTTTTATTTGAGGTTTCCTATTTTATTATGTTTATCTCACATTAAAACTCTAAAATACAACCCCTTCCCTCCCCTTCCTTGTTTAGCTCAGTACATTTTGGAAGGCCAGTTACCGTATTTAAGCAGGACTGTCAAATGTTCCTATACAACTACGCACACCATTATTTTTTATTTAACGGGATATTATAAGCACCATAAACTGTTTATCTTATAGTTATAACACAGATTTTTTTTCCACTCTGTTTTTAAGCAGATTCCCCAGCACCCATTGCTAGCCCCGTCAGCTTGTGATGACATGCAGCCTGTGATGTCAGTTTTAGCTTCCTCTTTGTATCCCAGATCGTTTGTACAGATAAGCAGGACTTGGGTGTACTCCCTCACGGTCTCCCTTATGTTTACACTAAATAACAAAGAAAGTGATAATATATATAACCTACAGAATTAATTTCAAGCGACAATGTTGCAAAATATGTAGCGCTTGACATGCAAATCGAGGGGGAAATAATCTTACTCTCCAACATTTGTATTATTTATTCATTTCTGATTCAGCTATTGCAAATCATTCATCAACTTGCCACAGTTTGTTTAAAGGACTCCAATATCCCAATGAAGTGGTTTGGGTGCAGTTATCCTGTCCTTTTAACCCTGCAATGTAAAATATTGCTGTATTGTTTACATTGTAGGGTTAAACACACCTCTAGTGACAGTCTTCCGTTCCACTGACCAAGTGAAACATGATCATGTGATGTCACAGCTCACAGGAAAGCACTGAATTCAGTGTTTTTCTAAGAGAAGCATTGGATGCTCACGTGGTACACACCGCGCATGTACTTTAGGTCCCCAATGCTCCTCTATGTGGAACATTGCATTGTACTATCACAGGGGAAAGCAGTGTCTTCTCAACTACGTGGTGAGAGGCATGGGGGCAAGCAGTGCTGGAAAAAGGCAAGCAAAAAGCTTTATATAATATATATATTTTGGGCAAATTAAAGGGGAATATAACTATGGACTGGGGCACTATAGCGTTAGCGATACAGGTTTGTATTCCTAATTATAATGTTGTTTTACAAAGACTACCAATGATCACAACCCGGCAGCGCTCCTGCTGTTAGTGTTACTAGCCATTCTTGACTTGTAGTGTCAATTGTTGTAGGCCGTTGGAGAATTATGAGAGTTGTACTCCAGCATGAAGTTCACTCTTTGACACCCCTGGTTTTACTGGTTACAAGAGAGTAAAAACATGAGTTAAATAGCATTTGTTTCTGGATTGTGGTATGTTGTCTGCTCATGATCTGTAATGTGTTTGAGCTTGGTTTAACCTACATGTGAGTTTTGTTGTCTGTAGTTTTCTGTGTGCCTGTCATTAATAAACATTTTTAATCACAATGCACACAACTTTTAGAAAAGATACGTTCTTGAAATTTTACATGTACGGTACATTTTCTTACCATCATGGCTGGCAGATGTATAGATTTTGTAATAAATTTAATATGTAGCTATGTCCCTCCTCCACCTGTCAATCAAATCTTGGCATAGAGTTGACATTGATCTCAACGCTTGAGTGACACGTAATAGTAGGATAATCTGTGGTTCTCCAGCACAGCAAATAACGCACATGCTCCTTAGTTGCTGCGATACTCCTCTAGCAAGCACATCTCCCGCTTGCTACAGTAATATACGCATGAAGTGACAGATGTCCCTCTGCTTTGATGCTTATGCACAGACAGCGTGTTGCTGTCATTGGGGAGGATTCCACTGCTTTGGGACGTGTTTCCCGCAGAGCCGGTTTCTCTGAAGGGGGTGAGCTGTACACAGGAGCAGAGAGTAGATGGTACGTTCGAATGGAACAATGCTGGAGAGACAAAACTACACTGTTTGTAATTCCTGTATTCCTAAAACCGGTCAATCACACAGCTAATAGCAGCTTTAGACTAAAATAGATTCACTAATTTAATTTATTTTACGTCTGTTGTCGGCATACAAAGCATGCTGGTTCCAGATGCTGGGTCTGCGCTCAATGCTTCTCACGGAGAAAATAAATTGAAATGTTTACATTGCAGGGTTAAATCCAGCCCCAGAGGCACTTTCACTGCACCGACAGATTGTCACATGACCGGTAAACCCAAAGAAAAGCATTATGGGGAATTGAAAGTGAATTTCTAATTTAAGGCAAAAGATTTGAGAATTGAAATTCATTTAATTGTACAGCGCTACGGAACTTGATGGCGCTTTATAAATAATAATAATAATTTGAATTCCTGACCATGACCATTTTAGCGAATAACAGTTGGCAGGGCTGTTGGTTCACTACACCTACACAGCACCTTTTTGGGGGTGTTTGCGTCTTCAGTAACCTGCATTAAGTAACTGTTGGCCCCTCTTGCGTACCTACCAACACTTGGAGATGTGTGTTGTGTTAGAGGCTGCAGGAGCTGTGCTGAGTGCGCATGCACACAGCTTTACTCCCTGCTAGGGAACTAGTAGCTTTCCATTATCACTGCAATATACTGTCAATATGGTGCTTGGGTGTGCCTTTAAAATTGAATAATGGCTTTTTAAGATCATTGTAAAATTGAAAACTAATTTGCCAAGCCAATGTCAAGTTTGTAATGTGGCCATCAGTCATTCCCACTGCATTAATGCAACACAATCTGACATCAAGGATTAGGGTGGATGACAGTGCAACTAATTCATGTATTTTCTTATTGCGGTCATCGGTAATAATTTATATAAATTTATGAGAGGCAAAAACGAATGACTCACTGATCAGATTTTTCTTGATCTTTGTGGAAAATGCATCTTATGTTATTTATTATAAATGATGTAACTTTTCCTGCTTAATTATTAAATCACACATTTTTAAACCAATCTCCTGTAAATCATCACAAACTGAACTAATAATCGTGTCTCCTTTATGGATTATGTTCTAAAGTGATTTTCTTGCGTTAGAGGGAGGTTAAGTAGTAAGTAATGCAATAAACAGAGCTGTGCGGTGATTGTGCAATCAGATGTAATGACTGTAGAGGTTTATTCTCTGAATAGTGATCAGGGATGTGCTTTTAGACCCCGAGATGACCTGTGAACATCAAATATGATTTTGTTACTCCAAGTAAGCTCATTCCGAGCCTGAACACAGTATCCTGAGACATTCAAAATTTGCATCAGGTGCCAGAGCAGCCATGCATTTATGTATGTACACCTTCATTAAATGTGAATTGTACTGAATACAAAAGGAAATTATCTGGATCAACTACTTTGGCCTGAAATTGGCCATTCCCTGGTTAATCCCTGTCATTTCCCTAACCTGGTCTGGTTATATAGCATAAGATGTATAGCCAATAGCATGCTTTGTATTTTGGCAAGTGCCATGTTTAAACCACTATGGAATGGGAATTCCTGCTTGTAGAGAATAGGTTTTTATTTTGCATCTCCTTGATAAGCCTGTGCCATTTTGTTTATTTTTTTTAATCAGATGCAGATAGCTATTATGTTTTTAAATAATCAAAAATGTAGGTGGGGATAATGTGGTTTTTTTTTTTTTTTTTTTTAAGTCTAAATATCTGATTCACCTTTGGGAACAAAAAAATGCATGTGTAGTGAATGGATGGCTTTATTTTGTTGGAGCAATCGCTGAAAGTTATGGCAAGTGCAGGACTAGCCAACAGAAACACCCCATGTATTGGAGAACTATAATTCCCACCATGCTTTGCATGCCTTAAAGGGAATCAGTGGGGTAAAAATGGTCCTCTATTTAATGCATCCCTGTCCAGCAGGGGTTTATGGGTAAAGTAGTCTATTCCCCAGCAATATTTCCAGTTGCCACATAAGAGTCTAACAACTGCTTTCTAAACTGATCACACCCATACTGTAATTGCTGTCGATATTGATCCGTCTGCATGACACCTCTAAGAGGCTGTTATATTTTCTGCAATATTTGTAAATCTCTGCCGTTGTAAGCCTCTGTCTGACGTGCGAGTGGGTGCAGGATACTCGGAACCAAGACCTTTACAACAATCTATAGCTGTTATGGGGCTTATAGTGACCCTTTTCGGCTGGTAAAGCATCATGGGAGCTGTAGTCCTAGATCCTTTATCTAATTTTAAGGTACTTTGCTGTCACTAACAAACCTTTTATGAGTGTCATACTTCATGCAAACTGCAAGTATGTGTCACTTTAACTGCCTTATGTATAGTTTGCATCTTGATGATTTTTTTTTATTTAGTGATTTTTTATTTTTATTTTTTTTTATGTATCTGTCAGCGAGGTTTTTCACAAATACTCTGTGTAATGTTTTTTTGTGTGCCTGTCTTTCATATCTAGCCGGTACCTCTGTGAATAAAACCACGCTGCCTGTAAAAAATAATATAAAATAAAACTATTCAACACCGTGTCTCTGTAAATGGTTTTTATTTTTCTCAATTTGCATGCTTTCACAAGATGTTTATATTAAACTGCTCACACAGATAACACGATGTAAAATCTTTAGTTTCCAGGAATCTGCCTGAATCAGACATCTGAACACGTTCATCTTTATTCATTGTATGTATGATGGTGCTTTGTAGATAAAACCATTAAAAAAAATTGTAAAAATCCAGTGTTCTACATATATTTTCTATAACGTGAGGTTGATTCACTTAAAGGAGCGCTGTAGTAGTTATGGTGCCAAAAGAGTGCTCGCACTTCCGCAATGTACATAGTCAAATCATTTTTATAATGGTTTGACTTTTTACCTGGGGTAAACTTGGCTCCGCTTCCTGCTCCTGATAGGAGCTTCCATTAGCTTATTGGCAGAGAGTGTCAGCTGCACTGGCGGACTTAGCTCAGGCAGAGCTTCTGACTGCCAAGGAAAGAATGAGTTTTGCCCAGCGGATACTAGGTTCAAAAAGTGCTAAAAAGCACTTCTGGCGCCATAAAACATACAGCGCTCTGTAGTGATTATGGTGGATGGAATCTTCCTTTAACAGGGAATCGTGAGAGATTGACAAGGAATTTGGACATCTTTTAGGACAAACATGCCAAAATGGCGGGGGTGGGGAGTACGGCACTCCATCTCAATTATGCTTCCAATATAATAAATTGTAAAGTAACCCTTTAGTGACCAGACTGTTTTTCAATTTTCTTACCGTTAAAGGGAAACTCCAGTGCCTCTCCCACCCAGCCCCAATCCCCAGTTGCTGAAGGGGTGAAAACCCCTTCATGTCCCACGTCGCTGCTTCTTCCTCCGCCGCTGCTCCTACCTGTGATTGGGTCGGCCGGTGGGCGAGACTGATCCCGCCCACCGGCCGGGGAGACCTAATGCGCATTAGAGCTCCCCATAGGAAAGCATTGAAAATGCTTTTCAATGCTTTCCTATGGGGAAATGAGCGACGCTGGCGGTCCTCACACAGCATGAGGATGTCCAGCGACGCTCTGATCCAGGAAGTGCCCTCTAGTGGTTGTCTAATACCTTGCAGGGCTTTTTTCTATAAACATAGCAGTTTCAGAGAAACTGCTATGTTTATATTAGGGTTAATCCAACCTCTAGTGGCTGTCTCATTGACAGCCGCTAGAGGCGCTTGCGTGCTTCTCACTGTGAAAATAACAGTGAGAAAACGCCAGCGTCCATAGGAAAGCATTGTGAATGCTTTCCTATGAAACTGGCTGAATGCGCGGGTGGCTCTTGCCGCGCATGCGCATTCAGCCGAGGAGGAGGAGAGTCCCCCGCCCGGCGCTGGAGAAAGAGGTAAGTTTAACCCCTTCCACCCCCTAGATCCCGGGGGGAGTGGGACCCTGAGGGTGGGGGCACCCTCAGGGCACTATAGTGCCAGGAAAACGAGTATGTTTTCCTGGCACTATAGTGGTCCTTTAAGGACCAGGGCTGTTTTTACATTTTTGCAGGGTTTAGCTATAATTTCCCTCTTACTCATTTACTGTGCCCACACATTATATACAGTTTGTCTTGCCATTAAATGGTCTTTCTAAAGATACCATTATTTTCATAATATAATTTACTATGGAACAAATGATAAAATATGATGAAATTTTTTTAAAAAAACATACCTTTTCTAACTTTGACCCCCCCCCAAAAAAAACATCCGTGCTAAATAGTTTTTCAATTTTTTGTCCTGAGTTTAGAAATTTTAACATGTTCTTGGCTTTTTTTTTTTTTTTTGTGCAAGTTATAGAAAAACAGAAAATCAAGCCTTATATTTCATCCTGTAACTTTTAGAAACACTACAAAACCAGGTACGTCCGAGGTCGTTAACGAACCCTTTTTGTCGGATGTACCTGGTACGTCCAAGGTGGGGAAGGGGTTAAACAGAATTGGCAATTAAAGAAGTGTAAACATTAGATTACTCTTTACAGGAAGTGTTTAGGAAGGCTGTGTAAGTCACATGAAGAGAGGTGTGACTATGGCTGCATAAACAAAGTGATTAAATGCCTAAATGGCATAGAATTGAGCAGAGAGACAGCAGGGGCATGATCTATACACCAAAACGGCTTCATTATGCTGAAGTTGTTTTGGTGACTATAATGTCCCTTTAAATAGATAATCTGTTGCTGAGCCAGACTTTTCCGAATTGCTATTTTTCGCCTTAATTTAGCAATTTGCTTTTTTTTTTTTTTTTATTTACTACAATTTGGTGTTTAAAGACTGTAATGTTGCTTAGATCGATGTGCCATTGGTGTATAATACAGGTACATAATAAGCAGACCAGCAGCTATTAATGACCTTCTGTGAATCTTGTAACAGTCAAAAATCTACTAAGTAGATGGCTTGACAATTTTGTTTGGAGTGTAGGAGCCAGCTAAAAAAGTTAATCTAACAAAGTTTTATTTTCAAAGACAAAATTCCCTGCAGGCTATTAAATGTAAACACTGCCTTTTCAGAGAAATAGCAGTTTTTACATTGCTACCTAGTAACATCTAGTGGAAGGTGCTTCTCTGTCTAATGCTGCACACAAACACACATTGTTACTGACACACACATATTCAAATTATTATTTATTTAAGTCCACCCAGCCTCCCTACCACTGGGAGAGCTGGAGTGGATCATTTCCCTGGGGTTCAGTGGGGCTGCCGAAATCTTCAAGGTCTTCTTACTCTGCTCCTTCACGTGCTGTTTAGTGATGCGTCATATTCCGGCAACACTGCAGGGAGCGCGCGAGAGGGAACAGAGCAAGGAGCTTACAGCTCCCTTGCTGGCCTGCTCCATTCTGCCTCAGTTGGCCGCGTTGGGGATACGGGAATGCTGGTTCCGCAGCCACTGATCAGGCTGACAAACACTCAGCCACCAGGGCGAATTTTCTAGTCGCCATGGCAACCTGGCGCCTGTGATTTGTCGAGCCCTGGGTTAAGGACCATGGGAGCCTTTCATCGCTGAAAATCTGTTACTTTAATTCTATCGCGACAACCGAACCATAACAGACCGCTATCTATTCAATCCCAGAATGCACTGTGCTCAGAACAAGTTAACTGATATTTATAGATAAATTGGATCAGGCCTCGAGATAGAGGACACGGTACCAACAAAATTACACCCAATAGAGTAAATATTCAACAGAAAATATTTCCCAAAAGCATAAAGTAGTTCTAGTGGTACGAAAAAAGGATAAAAGATATAAAAATTAGATACTATTTACTTAGATTTCAAATAGCAGACCTAGAAAAGTGAAACTTAAGTTAAAAGTAGAATAGCTAGTGGACACTTTTATTAATTAAATATTCTATCAATGTAGGTATCAGATTTTATGGTTAAATTGGCTATAGCGTTGCAGTGTTATATTATCAACTGATATTTATTTCGCTAAAACCATACACGGTTCGCCTAGTCATAATGATATGGGTTGAAGAAAGATAAACGCAACTATGTCACTTCCGAGTATTTCAAAAAGGTATAATCTTTATAAAATACGCATGCTGAATCGGTTGTAATTTTACTGAAATTTCTAAAGATGCCAGAAGACACTTGGAACTCTGCCGTCAATTTTTGTCCAATCGCAGCAGCCGTCACAAGTGTGCAATTCAGATATCTTCTTAGTGGATCCTCCATAGACTTCAGTGTCGTACTCTCCTGGCTCCTGGCTCCTGGCAGATGAGCCCAAAAAAGCCCTAACCAGAAACGACACCTTTGGGGGTCTTTGCAAAATATGTAAAGACCCCTGAAAGTGACAGATCAAATTGAAGATTCAGCAATATATGGTGTGCTAGATATAATTTTAAAAAATAAATAGTTATCTTCTATCTTTGTACAGGGCAGATTTAACAGTGGCTTTTTCACTAAATGTTGATGACAATCTGTAAGAGGTAGCACAATTATTACAATATACAATGCTGTCAGTTGGTGCAATAGAATAAAAAAAAAACATATGTTGCTCTTTCGGTTATTAAAAAAAACTCTTTTAAAGGGTTGTTTATTACAATATGAATAGTCTTGAAGTCAAACAGGGTTTTTTCACTGAAGTGAAAATTTAAGGTGAAATTCAAATTTAAGGTCAAAATTAAATTTGAAATGCTCTTTGAATTTTCATTTTAGTTTATAACCTTGTAAGTGAAATTCACATTTCAGGCGAGAATAGCCAAACTGCAAAATTTCTTCAGGTTATCTACATTATAAATAAACATTCACTGTGCATTTCTTCTCAATTCCTGACAGTTCACACTCTAAAGAGAATAATTGTGTTTCAGTAATCTATGCCAAAGCGACCGCGTTCTGTCTTCAGCTCCACACTTTACCCTTCACAGATTGTTGTTATGTAAAAAGTCATCATGATAGCCCATTGGATTAGAGGTTCCTAAATGCTTTCTCTCCTAATACGATTACACTAGGCCTTTAATGCTGGCTCAGGGATGGACAGAGGTGGGAGTCCAGCATGTGTGTAGTCATTCACCACGATAAACACGCAGTAAAAGTGGGATTAACAGATACGTGATGCCCTCACGGGTTCAGCTTGTGCTAAAGTACAGGAATTCCGGTCACACAGGGTTATTCAAAGGGGTTTATTTGCTAAACGTCAGATTGTAGTGAATTGAAAACTGTATTGCAAACTTTAGGCCAGAGTAGGTGACTGGGAAAAATTCTCCATCTCTACTGCAGTCACCGTTTGATTATTTTTGCCTAAACTTTACAGTTCGGCTTTCGATCCGCTACAGAAAGCGGTCTTGAAATAATGTCAGTTTATGGGCTTTTTTCTTTAAACAGTGAGTGGCCAAAGAAGTCTGACATTATATGCAAACATAGCCCGCTTTAAAATAAATAAATACCTCAATTCTTTCAGGTTTATTTAATAAAATTTGAATTTAACGAGAATGTCAAACTTAAGGTCAAAATAGACGAAACATTCTAAGATTTCACATCGGCTACTTTGGCCTTAAATTTGAAATTCAGTTTGAATTCTCCCTTTAGTACATAAACCTGTCCCTCGCTCCCAAATGGAAGGAGGAACTAAATAACGACAATATGGTTGGTGCCTGCATACGTGTTGATACCTGTGTCTCCAAGCCCTGGGTATAGGTGGCAAATCCTTCCTAAACAACAGTTTTTAACCCTTCGCTCCGATCACCTTGTGCTAAAGATGCGTTTGTACTCAGGGATTTGGCGCTTCAGCAGTTGATAAGGAGATCATGTCCATTATAAAGGGTTACTATGAATAAATTTGCAGGAATATAAGTATCTAGAGAGGATCTATATGTATATGTATATATAACCGCCAGAAGAGCAATTAACAGATAAACCTCATCCCCTGTGACCTCCCTCTGTGCCATCTGCTGGCTTAATGTCATTCAAATCACCCGGCTTCCTGTCTTCCACAGCAGGATATTATTATAATGAATGTATATTTATTAATATATATATTAAAATGGTTAGAAAAAATGAAGGAAACCGTGGGTGCCATGTTTTCACCACCACAGGCAATAATTGGTGGCATACCGGATGTGTGTGTATTGTGTGCGTTTTGTTTGTTTTTTTAACTTGTAAATGCCCGTAATGTGGGAGTCTGTGTGTGTCGTGTGAAATAGGCTCCTTGTTTTTTATTTAGCTATGATGGCGTGTATGTAATATGGGTGCCACACGTGATGTTAATAAAATGTAATGCAATTTATGACATGGTTGTATGCGTGATGAGTAGTGTGACTGTCTGTTATGTGAGTGCATGCTTGAACAACAGAAAATGGCTGCTACCGGTGCCATGTCTGTGATATTGGTGCCATTTAGATGCTGTGGGCACTGCGTATGTGATGTTGGTACAACGGATGGGTTATATGGATTATATGTTATATGTGTTCAATGCCAGGAGACTGCTGTTTGTGATTTAGGTGCCAACTATATGTTGTACATGGTGCACCATGCATTGTTTATATAAAGTGGGCGCTATATGTGTAAGATGGAGGCCAATTGTATGTGGGTTTTGAATGGTGATATCAGGTGAATAAATGTGAGCACAGAGTATGATATTGCTTTTTCATTAGTTGAGAAAATGAAAACCACATCTAGCAGGATTCCTTCTGTAAATGTAAGTACACCCAGTGCAAGGACTGCAGGGCGCACTGGCTCAGCATTGTGGGAATGATAATCCAGCCAGCATTCCTAACCCTTCCTTAACCTGATTACCTAAGTACTGGTAAACAGCAGTACTTTATCTATCACTACCATCTTCCTCAGCCAGTCAGAAGACTTATTCATTATGCAGTGAATTGCTGAAAAATAAAGTTGTGACAATAGCTGAGTTGCAGATATATATTTTTTTTAATATAAATAAAGTATTTCAGCCTAATTTCTTCCTTTTTTTTTTTTTCCACTTAACAGTGAGTTTTGGTGAACTGAAAACAAAACTGCAAAATTCAATCTAAATAACTAATCTGTAATGAGCGCTGAATTGGAGAATTAGTTCCAAATCAGCTATTTTGGTCTAAAATGTTTAAATAAGTTTACAATATGATTTTAACTGATTGAACCCCATGTGTGCCCATTAGTAGCTCACCCAGAGAATTTCTGAACCTTTGGATATGGGTTTGAGAAGCTTAATTTAGTTTCTCTCTTTCTTTACCAAATAAAACCTAAATTTCCCTGAATTCTGACGTTTAGAATGCCAAGAACTGTTGGAGCAAAAATAATACATTTTCTAATGAAAAAGGTTAATTATATGAAATGCCCCAAAGTGTGAGCTGATAATTAGAACTACAACGAACAACGCCCATCATGCCCAGTCAGCCAGGAAAAAACCTAATGCTCCTACATGTGTAATGTGACAATAACCATGAACAGCCTGCAGTGACTCCTCCGAGCCACACGGGGGAACTGTGCATTATTGACATCCACAGCTCTCCTACATTCCTGCATCTCCTGGAGAAAGGCTTCCTACCAGCAGGCTGCTGACAGCCCCAGTGCATCACGGGAGTTGTAGTCCTTTTTTTAGACATCACTGTCAATGGCTGCCTGCAGTGTGACATTTCAATGGTAGGAGATACTCTGTCTGTCTTTAGATATAACATTGTAATACAAAGTGCATAATTACACTCTGTGTGTGTATATATATATATATATATATATATATATATATATATAAAAAAAAATTACATTTTTTTTTCAAACAAGTACATTTTAGTTCTGTTTATAAAAATGTGTTAACCTTCTTAACCTCTTAAGGACACATGACATGTCATAATTCCCTTTTATTCCAGAAGTTTGGTACGTAAGGGGTTAATAACAGAACAGAAACTTTTCACTTTTCCAAAACCTTCCTGCCAGTGAGAAACTGAAAGGAAGGGTCATGGTGCATTAATTTAGGAGTTTTAACTATATGAAATCAATATTTAACAGATTTTATAATATTTAAACCTGGCATATCTGTGTTTTAGACCGTTACATTCCTCCCAGTTTAATCTTTTATCTGTGCTTTTAAATGCACGGTCACTGTTGTGTGGTTTTCATTTTCTTAAACAAACAATTCTACATTTTTATTTACATTGTATGCTAGCCAGTCAGAGCAGACATTGCAAATTAAGTTACCCTCCCCATGGTTGCTGTGTGGGGGCATGTATGAATGTACTGTACTACAGGTGAAATATCCAACTGTACATGCTTTTGCATAGTCCTATCTAAGCAGAAGCCAAGTATGCCCAGAGTGTGCCTGGTAAGTATATTTTACACTTACCTCTGCTGCCCTCCCCAGCGTCTTTTTAGCCCAGCAGCTCAATACATTGCTGGCCACTAGATGCGCTTCCGTAAGATAGCTGTGTAAACTCTGCTGTTCCTACCAGATGGTCTCAGAGAGTCCCATGTGATGGGGACAGCGTGGTGTTTTGCTGCACATGTGCACTTCGTCCCAAAGCATTCCTATGGGAAAATATTGGATTGGCTAAGATCATCGATCTCGATGATCTCATCCAGCGAGGTAAAGCAGAACGTCAGAGACCAGCAAGTTGAGGGAGAAAAATTAAATCTTCTTTTTAACCCTGGCCGAGGGTTCCTGGTCACCGAAACAATGAGTAGAGCTTTATAGCGTTTGGAATAAATATTTGCAAGTCTTTTTGTAGTGTTTACTGGGTTATGGTTTGAAGAACGATCACTAGACCGTTCCTCTTTAAAACTCTTTTTATTGTTTTATCTACAAATTGCAGCTGTAATGACCTGTTTACATTTTTAGACTATAAAATTTAAATTGATTTAGAAACATTTGTTTTTGTGCCATATTATTTTTGTTTGAGTGATTTTGTCTTCATTTCTCCCAATAGGATGTAGCCATTGTAACTACGGACACTGCTATAAACCTTCAATGACTACATTTTTATTTGGACTCTTGCACTGTTTTTTAAACTGAAATTAATTACTTTCCTAAATTAAAAGAAATCAAGATGAATAACACCTTAAAGCATTGGAGAGAAGCTGCTACTCTGATACTTGCAGCAGGCTCTAAGCATGGAAACATATTGCCAAAAATTCAAAATATGGTTCAGCAATCCTGGCCACAAAATCCTAATAAAACCCCTTTCGACTATGATGTTCTCTTATTGAAGCGCAGTCAGAATAGTGGGTTCATGCCAAATACTTTCGTGTTCCCAGGCGGTCTTGTTGAGCCATCAGACTTCTCCAATGATTGGATAAAGGTGTTTGAAAGATATCAACAACAACCTAACTTTGGACTGGGTTTGGTGAAACAGCACCCCAGTACTAGGCCTCCTATGTTTGTCACCGACAGAACTCAGTTTGGATCTCTGATTCCTGGGGAGGTTGCTTTCCGGATCTGTGCCATCAGAGAGACGTTTGAAGAATCTGGAATTTTGTTGGTGGTTCCTGAGAACTCAGACGTGAAAGTCATCCAGAACACCATGGGGGTCTATGAACATGATCAAGAGTTACTTTCCAAATGGAGACAGGAAGTTCAGGACAACCCTTTCCAGTTCATCCAGATGTGCAAAGAGATGCGTTGTGTGCCGAACATCTGGGCTCTATATGAGTGGAGCAACTGGCTAACTCCAGTAATACCCAATAGTTCAAGTCTCAGACGTTATGATACAGCTTTCTACATTTGCTGTTTGGAGAAAAGGCCACGTACCAGTGACGACCAGAAAGAAATCACTTCCTTCAAGGTGAGTGCATTTTCTGATCACGTTTATTGACCTATCACAGAAGAGTGCATTAAAAAAAGATCGCTCCATCCTGTTGTCTGAGAAACATTGCGGGGGTAGTGTACATGCGTAGAAAATCGTTGCACTGTGCCAGTCAGCTTCTCATCATATAGGTGTATTATTGAGTCAAAACCTCTCTCTGTTGAGCTTTCGGCATATCCATGCAGAACGTGGAGACACTGGATGTCCATCCTGCAGTCTTTACAGGATCTAACCCAAGATGTCCCTCTAGAAGCCGTCGAAGTGAGAACCACTAGAGGTTGCATTAGGCAGCAGCGTTAACATTTACTTTTTCTCAGAATAGGCAGCATTTTACATTGCTGAAGCTGCAGGGACAGGCTATTTGCACCACAACCACCACATTAAGCTGTAATGGTTCTGTGTCTGTAGTATCCCTTTAATACATTTAGAAATTCTGCACTAGAATAAACTGCAAACAATGAATTACAAAAAATAAACATGAAAACGATATGTTGGAATGTCCTTCATTTGCTGCAAGTCTGCAGAAACTGTAAAGTGTCTGGCATTGTTTAGACACTCTAGGTCCTCCCATTATTTGTAGTGGAGGTACTGTGCATATCCCATTAGTGAGTAGTTTCAGTCATGAAAATGCATAAATGAAGCAACTTGGCAGGCCAATAGAAGCTATGTGGCTGCCTATAGGAGCTTAATTCATGTTTTCTTTCATGATTTGAAACCACTTATTTGCTAGGATTTACTTGGATATTCAGAAGAACTTTTCACCTGTGACATGGGCAATATTGGACGTTTTTTTTTTTTGTTTGTCAAAGTCTATTTTCTAGAGCAAAACCCATAGATTATTGGGTCATATGTAAACCAAGCAGATCTTCAGAACAACGCTAACCGCTTTGCAATCAGCAGGAACAGACCTTTGGTTTCCATAGTAACTGCACTACTTTTAAAACTTGAATCCAGATTTACTTTTGATATACAGGTCATATCATATATTAAACAGCAGCTGTTGAAAGACTTGGGATATAAGCTTGATTCAGCGTTTTACAGTTCAACAACTGTTTTATTTTTTACTATTATTCACTAAACACTGAATAGTAGTGAATTGACAAATTGCTAAATTTAGACTAAAATAGCCAAGCTATGATTATAATGGAGTTTAATTTTTTTTCCATATCAACTACTTTAGCCTTGCGTTTGCAATTTGCTACCATTTTGTGTTTAGCGACTAACTGAATAATTGATGTAGTGGATATCCATCAGTGCAACCAAAGAAAGAGAGTTGTATCGAGGATGTATGTAGCTAGGATTATAATAACTTTATGAGAGCCCTGTCCCTTTAATTAATTTATGTTGAAGTCTTATCTACTTAAATAGTTCTTATGGACTATACCGATCTTTGGAGTTTGAACAGCTTGCAGACTTCGAGTTCCCTGCGTTGCTCCTATCCGGACTTTTCTTATCAGGGATACCTGTCTGGGATTGGCAGCGCTATGATAAGCGCAGGCACTGCCAGTCTTATCCACTATTTAAATCATAGGAAGGGCAATTTCTAGGGGTTGGAGCAGCCTTAGCCCCGTGATGCGAATCCCTCTGATATCAGTAACCAGAGTTACATTCCTGTACATATGTAGACAGATTGCTGGATAACATTTGCCATTTGTTTAGGTGCTTTAAAAGTGCACCAATAACACAAATAGTATGTGTAAAACAAGGTAACAAAATAAAATTGTACAAATTTTTAAATGGCGCTTGACAGGGAGACTGACCAGACGTCATTTCTGGCTGCTCCCGATATTTTAGCAAAATCCACTTAAAATCCCTACTTCTCGATGGGGGCGTGGCCGACTACGGAGCTGAACAGTCGCATATCTGTGGAGCTCCGCTTCGGCCCCACAGATCAAGAGTCATTACACAGAGAAATTCGCTCCAAAACCACACAGCTTACCTGCCACCTGACAGCTGACAACATGGGGCACAAACATAGGAAGCAAACCCACATGGAGCGACCCGCGGCACCCGACATCAGGCTTGCATTCCAGAGGCCTACACAGTCGCGGCCTGCCAAGATGGCGCCGGAGCCGCAGAGAGAGCTGGAGACCTCTGACGAATCACAAAAAGAGAGGGACTCCCAAACCTCACCACAACCCGATGATAACCCTCACAGGTCTGACTCGGAGGATGATGACTCTCCATCCACAAAAGGGGACATCAGAAGACTGCTGACAGACCTCAGACTGGTCTGGAAGGCCGATTTAAAGGAGACCCAAGCTGAAATAGGGGTCCTACAGCAAAGAGTAAGGGAGGTGGAAGCCAGAGAAAGATCCAGAGACAACCAACTCCAAGACACCAAGCAGCAGCTGGACGGACTTGCTGAGCAGGTCCAGTGCCTACACGGGACAGTGGTATCACTTGAGTCCAGACACCGCCACCACAACATACGCCTCAGGGGCATCCCTGAAACAGTGGGCGGAGAAGACCCACTGCCTTTTGTCCAGAGACTTACCTCCTCAATGGGCCTCAGGTGTAACCAGACACCCCACTGATACTAGCCACCTTCCGAGTGCGCAAATCGCCAGCAGCACCTGCAGGTGCCCCCAGAGACACGATAGCTACCACCAGAGACGTAGCGGCGAGAGCCGCCATCATGGCCAGTTCTAGACCACGTGGGTCAGTGAAATTTGAGGGATGCGAAGTGGCCATGTACAGTGACCTTCCTTTTGCTGTACTGGCCGCAAGGAGACAACTTGTACCAGTCGCCAAGAGACTGAGAGAGCACTCCGTCCGTTACCGGTGGGGCACGGAGGGGTCACTGGTGGTGCAACAGGGCACCGACATATTCACTCTGACCGCAGGGGAAGACCCAGAAACATTCCTCAAAAAGCTAGGCGTGGTAGCCAACGGGCACAGCAACTGAACTGAGAAACGCAACATTTAGTTATCATAACATTGCTATTTATGTGTTTATAAGTTCATATGGTTCTTAGGAGTTTCTTCGTACTCTTAACTCAAAATCCCTACTTCTCGAAACCATCCAGCTTCCTGAACATCGGGTCCAGGTGGAGGGGCTCCCGCTGCATTGCTCGATGCCATTTTTGTATACCCCAAAGCTACCGAAACGCAACGGCAGAGACGCTGCAGCACCGACCCGCTAACGTCACACCAGCAATGGGGCACTGATTGCTGAGACCCCACCCAGGCACCTCGACCGACCAGCGAGATATCAGAGCCTTGCTCCAGCAGCAAGCCCCAACCAAGATGGCAACCACAGAGGACCCAACAGTTCCAGCAGCCTGTTACTTACCACTTTCGGCCTCCTCACGAACACTGGCCTCGCAGGTGGACACTCAGCTGTTGACCATAGTAGCAAATGGGGGTACAGAACCTGCAACTAAGCAAGATCTACAACACTTGCAAATTATGCTGCAGGAAATCCAGAGCTTGCTGACTACAGACTTGCTTGCTCTCAAAACAAGCATGCAACAGGTATCAGAAAAGATGAAGGCCACAGAAGGGGATGTAAGGGAAATCCGGGGTGACATGTCCACAATGAACGACTCCATACTCCAACTACAAACTACTCGACAAGCCCTGTCCCTGCAACTCTCAGCACAAGAAGACAGATATCGCCGCTACAATGTGAAGATCAGAGGCATACCATCAGCGATTGCAAACGAAGAACTGCCACACTATATACGGCAAATCCTGGCCTCAATATTACCACCTGCCACAGCAAAAAAAAAAAAAAAAATCATACTCTCTGGGATCTACCGCCTCCCTATACCGGCACAAACTGCCGCACCTACTGCTGGAGATGTCATTCTTCGCTGTTCATTACCCCAAGACAAGGGACATATCATGACCGCAGTAAGGGGTAAAACGCCACTTTTCTTTGAGGACTCACAATTGACTTTCTACCAGGACCTGACTAAGTCCACACTACAATGGAGAAAGTCCTTAAACGCAGTCACCAGCCGCCTACGCTCTGCAGGAGTGACCTATAGATGGGGGACGCCAAGAGCCCTTTTCTTCACTCACAGCAGGACTACTGAGATCCATTAATCCATGTTCTCAGTCTTTGCAAAATATGCAAATGAAAAGTGTTACCCTACAGTAGGTAGCATTCATATACTGTACTGCAGGAAAGGAATAATTATTCAATAAACAAATTTAAAACAAAAAGGGAATGATTTATTAAAGCAAGAACAGGTTCTGTTCAGGGCTAAAAAGCTAAGTGTGGTGAAATCACCATGGAAACCAATAGAATGTATTTCAACATTTAGCACATGTAGTGGTTATGGTGCTTAGAGTATTTCTTTAATGGAACAAAGATTTTTCTAGAGATCCTTTACATCTGATAGAAATGTCAATGCCATGTAATGGTCCATGTGTCTTATACAGTTTATTTTTACTATTTATTTATTTTAGTGGTGGACTCCCCTGGATGCCATAGAGGAATATCGCTCCCGAAGAATCTCGATTGGGCCCCCTCAGTGCTATGAATTAAGCCGGCTGTGTAACATGAGCCATATTGATGAATTACACAGGTTTAGTCTGCGGCGTGCTCTTGACGGCTGCGAGCAGTGGATGACGGCCTTTGTGAGCACTGAAAATGGCGTGGTGCATGTATTACCAGGTACGGTTTCCGTGAATACAAAGCAAGGGATTTGTCTTTTAATGAACAATAAAATATAGTAAATTGAAAGTGAATCAAATTTTAGGCTAAAAGAACTAAACTGAAAACTCAGCCTGCTGGGAGAATTTTTCCCAATTCGGCTTTTTCGGCACAAATGCGAAATGTGTAATATTTTACCCTTTAGTGAATTATATTTCTGCTTCAAGGAAGTAAAGAGAAGATGCCCTGAAAGCTTATTGCTACAAATTTCTGTTCTGTCCAATAGTAAAGATATTGAAGGAAACTGCAATACCATATTATTTTGTGTTTTTATTACTGGACTAACATAGCAACCTAAATATCATGACATTTTGTCCACTAGATGGCACTATAGAATCCAATTTCCAGATCATGGTTTACATACCCTAGTAGTGGCAGACTGTGTGGGGCTTATTCACTAAACACCAAAGACAAATTTTCTAACTCTCCTCTAGTCACGTATTTGCTATTTTAGCCATAATTTTGCAGTTCACTATAGTTTGTTTAGTGAATATATTATGTAATATTGTTTAATGCCGTGATATAAAATAAAAGTATGATGGGGCAGGGCCTGACATCCAAGATGTCCAGACGTGTTTTCCACTAGCTCCTGGCACATCGCTCTATAAACCAGTGACTAAAGCTGACATTCTGACAACAGAGGTCCTGAAATGCACGCATGCTGTTATTTAGAACAGTGCAACTTGATAAATCTGGCCCGGAATACTCTGCTTACCAGCATTCACGTCCTTTACCTTTGAGGCCTACTGGGCTGGTGCGCGCGGGCAGAGACCGCCATTCTCCCGACGCAGTGTGCAAGCCTTGTGGCAGCTTCCAGGGAGCCCCGTTACCCCCCCACCCTCCCTCCTTTGGACCGGCGGGGGATATCCCAGTCCCCACTGGGCAAACTTTATCCCGCTGTGCAAGATAATCCTGCAGCCTTTGAAGCTGCGTGGCGCGACCAAGATGGCCACCATGCACAAACCTCAACCATGCCGATCGGGCCCAGAGAGCCGGGGTGGAGAGAACACTTCAAGACAAGATTTGATAATATATGCCGGAGGTTCTGGGAGCATATAACACACAGATCTGACACACTGGCCTCCCCTGCTACACAGCAGTGCAACATGGCCTCACCGCTGGGGCCAACACGTGTGCAACCGCTACTTATGGTGTTCGAACGCACCTGTACCTTACTCTGGGCGAAGCTCTATGAAAGGGCACCTATCACTGCTCCTGTTGAACAACCTGTGGCTCCTGGAGCTGTCCTGCTACTCGCTACCACTGGCATAAGCATCTCCCACGTGTTTCCTGAGAGGCGCTGCACAGGAGACGGCGCAAGAAGCCGCAGCGGCGGACGGCTCCACTTCATCCGATGCCGTGTTCCCACTACCACTCACCTCACCAGCAAGGAGATAAGCTTCCTTGCCTCCAGCACGACCAGCCTGAACAGAAGGTCTTTACCTTATGCCGCTGGGAGCGCAAGACCACAATTCTGCAACCGCGAGTCCCAGCCAAAGCCTGGGCTGTCTGTATAGGGAGGATCGTGATGGACCTTTCCGAGGACTTGGGCTGCAAATAGGGGTATCGGTTAGGTGGCATATCAGTGTCTTTCACAGCTGGGATGTTAAAACGCTGTTTTCACAGTACATGATACCTGCTATCCATCAGTTGTTTCCTTCTACTACTGTGATCTATTCACTCAGCTGCAGCAGCTCACTATAGTTACCCAGTGGAATCTCTTGCTTGCAGTTATCTGCTTTATAGAATGTTTAAGTATATTTTGTATGATACATCTCATTGCCTAACATGTCTAGCAAGCTCTTTGTTTCCCACCACACAGGACAGCCATGTTCTAGGGATTTGTGTCTCAGTGGTTTGGTTTGGTTTGTTTGTAATTGTATTTTTTTTCTCATGATATTGCTTAATCCAATCACATCTGGATACACACTGAGAATATATTAATTTCAGCCTAGACGTGAGTGACACCTTGCACATATATCCTTCTGTATATTCATCTCACACTTACACTACATTTATGTTATGGTTAGTTATGTCTAATGTTGGGACATGTCTGTGTACTCTTCTAATACATCACTCACTTTAGCAACTGTAGGCTTAGCTTATTTCACTTGTCCTACAATGTTTTATTTCATAAAAATGCGCAGTACTATCACATGCTATACAACTGTCTTGCCATGTCTTGAAATGTTTGCCCTAGCTGTTGTGGCAAGGCAAGCCTGATTGTCATATCTATGCGCAAATAAAAAAAAAATAAAAAAAAGTATGACAAGTCTGTGGTGTTGAACTGTAAATGAGGTCTCACTTAGTTAGGGCTGAAATTTAGCACTCCGCCATCTTAAAAATTCACCAGCCACTGGTCACGTGTTAAAGGATTTTAAACTGTACCTTTTATGACAGCCATACTAACAAGGTTATTCCATAGAGTGTGAATTCATAGGAATTCAAAGTCAATTTCAGAGTTTGTGCCAACATATTTAACAAAAAAATTTGAAAGGGACACTATAGTCACCAAAACAACTTTAGCTTAATGAAGCAGTTTTAGTGTATAGCTCATGCCCCTGCTTTCTCACTGCTCAATTCTCAATTTAGGAGTTAAATCACTTTGATAATGCAGCCATAGTAACACCTCCCTGCACGTGAATTGCACCACCTTCCTAAACACTTCCTGTAAAGAGTCATCTAATGTTTACACTTCCTTTATTGCAAATTCTGTTTAATCTAGGATTACTTATCTCCTGGTCTGTTAATTGCTAGACCCTACAGGAGTCTCCGGTTTTTGACTAAAGTTCAATTTACAGAGCAAGAGATAAAAACCTCCTAAAGTTAGTAACATCTGATTTAAAGGAAACCTTTTTTTTTTCATGCAGACTGTGTCAGTCAGTCATGGGAGGTGTCAGGGGAGGGAATTGAGCAATGACACTTCAGCGGCATGACCTATTCACAAAAACTGCTCCATTGAGCTAAAGTTGTTTTGGTGATTATGGTGTCCCTTAATACTAATTAAAGGGACTCTATAGTCACCAGAACAACTACAACTTATTGCATTTGTTCTGGTAAGTATAATCATTCCCTTTAGTCTTATTGCAGTAAACAAAGTCTTTTCAGAGTAAATGCAGTGTTTACATTACAGCCTAGTGATCACTCCACTGGCCACTCCTCAGATGGTTGCTAGAGGTGCTTCCTGGGGCGGTGCTGCACAGTGTGACTCCCATTCAATGTCTCCACCATCTGCATGGAGACACTGCACTTTCTTCATAGAGATGCATTGATTCAATTTATCGCTATGAGTAGATGCTGATTGGCCAGGGCTGTGTTTGACTTGTGCTGGCTCTGCCCCTAATCTGCCTCCTTGACAGTCTCAGCAAATCCTACAGGGAAGCACTGTGATTGGCTCAGACCACCACTTCTGGTGATGACCGCAGGCAGGTAAGAGACAGACAGGGGCAGAGCCAGCAGCTACAGGCTTGAATACAAGTAAGATTTTACTATATTTAGGGAGGTATGGGGGAGGGGGGGGCTAGATGGTGGTTTTAACACTACAGGGTGAGGAATGCATGTTACTGTAAAAACAAATCAAGTCAATTTCTTCAGTGACACTTCAAGCTCAATTTCTTCAGCTTTTTCTTCAGTGACACTGCTGTATCCCCAACTCCTAGTGTGCACGGTGGTACCACACATGTTGGACTGAGATGATAGAACAGGTGGCCACCTACCTCTGTGCCATCTTTCCTATATCTGACAGTATATAATTTAGGCAGCCACAGGAGACTGTGTGTGCAACCCATTGCGCACATGCCCTAACCTGCTCCTAGGATGCCACTGTGACCTCTCACTGCTTCAGCTCAGCGTGTCAAATTAGAAAGGTTCTTTGTGAAAAGAGGGGGCAGTGTATCAATGCAGAAAGCTGCAAAACTGTTATTTACTTTTTCAGCAAAACTAAATCGATTTGATTGTGGAGAACAACATAGTCTGAACATGAGATTAAAACCTGTTAAATATACTTACGTTGTGTTGGTACCTGTAGTATGACTGGAGTGTTCCTTCAATGTTTTTGGTTACTTATTGCTTTATTTACCAAATATTTTTTGTGGCATTCTTTTGTTTTTCATTTTGTGAGATCGGTTTAACTTTTTGGAATACATTTTTACTTGGCAAAATGTTTTAAACCACAATATCCTATTAAAAACCAAAGAAAAAAAATCACTTACTTGTGCACTATCCCAAATTGCTGTGTACAATTAAATAACGAGGTATTTTAGTATCACTCCAATGGCCATTTAAGTGTAAGCTCTCCTGCCACGTCAAGGTGAATTGTCAGTGTAGGACTCACCTTAAAGAGTTGCCTTGCCGTGGCAGGTGAGCTGACGCCATTGTAGTTATACTAAAAAAACTCCAGTTATTTAAATGTGCATAGGGATTTGGGATAGTGCGCAAGTAACTTTTGTTGTATGTTTTGGGGCTGATGTGAAACTACATTTATCGCTGCCCCCAGGAGTAGTGGGAGTTTAAGCGCAGGGTTTAATTTTGTATGACCGTATCATATTAAGCAAAACCACCATGTTTTGCAGGTGATGATTTGTATCCAGACAATGTTGACCCTACAGGAGAAAAGCCAAGTCTACAGACTACCAGCAAACCCGTTGAAGATCTTTTGCAAGAGGGAAAACGTCATCACCGATTCCTGCAAAACAAAGGCGTTCCAAGCTTGTATGTTAATATCGAACAGAAATACAATCATGTGAGCCCCGTGGCCATGAATGCTCATTGTGAATGGGACCCCAAGAGCAAGATGTGACATTGAACTTAATCCCAGCATAAAAAGAAGTTAAATTAAACTCTGGATAGCAATCCTGGCATATGCCCATGAATGGGAAGTTGTGTTAATATTGATAATCGAAAAAGCAAATAGTTAATTCTAGTTGGATAGATAGGGGCACCACAGATTAGCCATATTGTTACTGTGTGCACCAGCTACCTCAGTTTACTGTGTTATAAAATAAAGAACATTGAACGGTACAGTTCTGTACATATCCTTTGGGCATGCAGTGTACAGCAATGTTCATTTGATAATGTTTATGTCATCTTTTCCAACAAGCAGAGCTAACCCAGACAGGTTTATTTTGTATAGAACTTGTTAACGTTAATATAACATTGGTTCCTTTATGATCTGAAGTTCACGATTCATATGGCGTTTATTTTGTCACTCTTTATTTTTGTAGTGCAGAGAGTAATAGGCAAGCTGATTGCAACATATTAATAAGCGCTACGGAATACGCTGGCGCTATATAAATACCATAAGAGTACAGAAAACAAGAGAAATTGACAGAATATAACTTGACATGTTGGGAATGTGCATGGTTTTGGTGACGTAAAGCAAGAATAGTCAGACAGGTGTGTGTCAAAAGCATGCCAAAGAAACTAATTTAACAGTTAGGCTAGGTCAGTTGCCCACACTGCAGAAGATACTGGACTGCACCCCAGAGAAACTGGGACCAGAATAACCCCCAACTGACCAAAGGGTGGGGGGAGCTGAGTAGTCTTAGTAAATCAGCCAGTAATAGCGTCTGGAGAGTGGCCTGCCTTTCCAACACCTTCCGTTTTTGTAGGCCACAAGAGTACCCAAACCAACGAACTGGGCAAAAAGAATTCCAAGACTCATATCGCTGGATGCACCTAGGTGTCCCTGTTTCTATGAGATTGGTTCTGCACTGAAAATGTCGGTCCGACAGCTGGAAATCTATGATTTATGGTGCTGAGCATAGAAGTTCACTCAGCATACGTCTGCCCAGCTTAGCAGTCTGGCTCCGACCCCCATATGGCATTTATTAATGACTCTAATTCCTTAAAATAACTACTTTTATATAAAAGTGAGACATAAAAAGTATCATATAAAATATGTCCATCTTAATGGCATATAAAATATGTCCATCTTAGCATTAGCAGGGACAGACAGTCTCTGAACTCCTGGGCCCATTTTGGTGAATATATATACACACAGACCTGGTACAGTGTAAGCAAAAAAAAAAAGAAAACATACAATTTGTGATTTTTACAATTTCCAGTGAAGTTATAAACTGCTGGGGGTATTGGTATGTATGTAGTGCAAGTCCGGATGTGGGTGCATAGTGTGAATGCATATATTTGTGTGTCCTGTACTGTTTGTTGTGCTTGTACACATGAATGCCAGGATGCGTTTTTGTGTAGAGTAAATGTGAGAGTGCACTGCTCTACTATTGTGTAGTGTCAGAATGTCTGTTTGATTGTAGGGGTGTGTCTGTGTATAGTGTCAGTAATTGTGAATGAAGAAGTTCATTTGTGTGCGATGTCAACACAAGAAAGGCGTTACAGTTTTTCCTTTTCTCAATGTGTATATCAACAACTGGACACTATATTACATAATTTGTTGTTCTGAAGGAAAATTGTCACTTCCTCCAGATGTAATTCCATGCCTACTCTAGTATCTACTGATCGCCTTAAAGTGTGCTTCTTCTTTGCTGGTTTGTTTTCCTTGTTTTGGGTACTGTGACGAGTCTTTGAGCAGAGTTGGGCAAAATCAGCAAGGTTAGGTAATAATCCAGCTCTGGACCTCACAGATCATGTATGATCACCAGGACAATTAAAGTGGACTGTCAGAGAGGACTGATCTCAGCAAGATGCGGCTTCAGTGATCAGTCCGTCCTTGAACATTTAACTACTGTATTCTGAAATGTCACAGCTCATTAAATCCATCTGTATTTGCTAATCTTCATTAGTTTAGTGATTTTGCCAATGATTACTGATAATTAAAACAGCTGATCAAAACTTTATTTACACATTTTATTATTTGCATTTATTAAATGTTTGATTTTGCAACATACAGTAATATTCAATTATGTATTAATAGTTTATATTTAACTAAAATAGTTTACATCATTGCAGGATGGTTAACCTGAGCAAACATGTAATTTAGGATAGGTGATTTTAAGTAGCCTTGCAACATTTTAAATAATAACAGTCCATTTCTGTATATCTGTAACACTAGCATGTAAAAAAAATATAAAAATTGCTAGTGTTTGCTTTAATCTGATCACCAAAGGAATGTCACAAAATACCACACAAATGTATAGGATATAATACATACACAGGTATATTCTGCAAGTAAATCCTAAACATGTTCAATAACTGCTCAGGTTGGGATTGTCTAAGCACCATAGGAAATTAGACATTTTAATATTCAGCAGGCATTGTCACTGGTTGCTTGAACTGATGACACCTCCCTCCCTCCCAGTGGGATAATTATTAATGCACTAACTCCCATTATGCTCAGCCAGCCATAAAAGCCTAATCCGCATGATCACTATATTGCCCATTCCCCAGGAGAGCCTTTTACAGAGCCACAAGGGGGCGCTATGGATAGTTATTAACTTCAACAAAGCCAGAACTTTTTTTTTTTAATATAGTTTTCGTATCACACAATATCCTTCACAAACTCTGAAAGCCAATCCACTAATTAATCCTTACATTTCATGATCTCCTGGGCAGGAAATAGAGCCTGTGCCCCACTGCATCGGAACTTGTAGTCCATCAGCTGTCAGTGTAAATGGCTGAATGTTTTTTGGAATCTCTGCGGTAAGAGATACATTGTGTCCCTGTACTCTGTGCTTAGATTGTGATACAAAGTGTTTTATATTATTTGTCTCCCTTCTTACAAATATACTTTATTTTAGAATGACAATGTGTCTGCTAGCATGTCAGTGTGCTGCTCCTCCTGACTCCTCTACCCTTCTGGATATGGTAGATAAATTATTAATGGGGGTTGTCAGATCCAATCAGGCTTGCCTGCATGTATATCACATATCCATATATTTCAGTATTCTATTAAAATGTAATATAAGAAACATGGTATGAAAAGCAAATCAGTTATTTAAATGGTGGATCCTTAAAAATAATACCCCAAAATTGTATTAATTTGTTTCTGTCCTGTAGCATATGGTTACTTCATAGCACATGGGATCATTCACTTGTAGAGCTGAGATTTGTCTGGTACAATGCAGTGGATTTGTTAAAAGATGCAAATGTTTGCTGTAGCAGTGCTATGGTCTCCATTTTCTGCTGAGATTATATCATTTCTTCATACCATGGCAGTACAGGGAAAGAGTGCCCTAATGTCCCTCTGCTGCCTTAGGGAATTCAATAGACTAAACATGGAGGTTCATTCAGGAATCCTGTTTGACTGATTGATCTCAGTTGAATGTAATTCCCTGTGAAGTTAGGTTGCAGTTTGTAACCACTCATTATTAGTAGTCTAAAATTACTGGTTGGGAATTCTGTGGAATTGTACACAAACCCATTTGTGTAGGATGAATCAAAATCCTCTTAATCTACCCCCGAACTCAAACCATCAGGGAGTTACTTTGGGGTAATTTAAACGCAGTTTATTTAATCAACAATAATAGCAAGATACAGACCCAAAGTGTACACACAAGGTAATTGTTAAGTATACATAATGATAATGATAGAATAAAAATCTAATATGGGTTTAAACCCAAAGCAGGTTGTGTCACCTTAAGTATGTGAGAAGATGTCACAGAAAAAAGTGCATGATGATCCTAATTTCGTGTGGAACGTCTATATATTCCACTCAACATCAAATGATATCTCACACTGAAATAGGGGTACCGCAGAAATTTGCCATAATTTGTCAGTAGGGCATACAGGCAACAACACAGTACCTTAATCCAGAGCAGCGTAGCAGAGTAAAAATCGACTAGATAGGAATTATACTTTCTCACATAATGAACACTATGGGGAAACAGACCTCACCACTGGGCATTGGAGAAGACTGATTGCCAGCCTCCTGCCATGTGACTATGGCCCCTGGGATGTATTGCCCTTCAAAGACATGATTTGGGCATACTGGATTTGTGTTGTGCTGCTGCTGGCCCTTTAAGAACCATCTGGAGACATACGGTGGAGTTACTGGGTGGCCACCATTTCATGTATCAGAGGCACAAGGTGAGAACAATGGATGAAGCACATGGTGAGAACAATGGATGGCGGATGGCATTTTTTACTTTTCTACATGGTGCCATCTTGCCGGTATTTGGTGCACAAAGACATTGTGCAGTAGTTTTAAACTATACAGCAAGGGACACATTATACAGTAATTCTTTTTCATATAGCCTGTATAGGTTCTGCGGAATCTGCATTAAACTGTATCTTCCAAACTACTGAACGGATCTGGGTGAATTTTGGATATGTGGTTCACCCAGATCCCCCTGTTCCGAGGATATACTTTTATGGGGTTATTGCATGTTTTGGGGTCACTGTGATATGTTTTGTAATACTGTATTTCTCTGCCTGTGATAATTATATTAACCATTGTGTTCAGTAATCATATCACAGGCAGAGGGGAGGATTTTGTGTGGGAGTGTCTGTGTGTATTGTACGGATTGATTGGTTGTATTTCAAAACCCTGTGGGCAGTACTATGTTTGTTGAATGTGAATAAAAAAGGCTGTATGTGCCAGTACAGTCAGTTCTACTTCACCCTCAATTTGGAGTGCCGTCTCTTATTGGGGGAATCTGCTACAAGGGATTGCTATGCTTGTCATACTCCCTTGCTAAATCACTACTAAGCTCTTGTAAGAGCTCGTTCCTGTCTTGCTCTCTGGATGAGTCTACAGTGGTTATGGTGTCGGCTGGAGTGCTTGGAGCCCTCAGGAAGCGCTAGGAGCATCCTTCAACGGAGGTACCCAGTTGGGGTGCCAGGTGATCCGTTACAAACACAAATTCACCTAGATGGCAAAAGGCTAGACCATACAAACCTCATCGGAAAAATGAACAAACAAATCAGCCAATTACACACACCAACCGGTTTAGACTGTTGTCCGATAATTCTACTGGGGATAGGAGAGAAAACCCCAGTTCCTCTTTTTAAGGACTGAGCTCCCCCTCACGAGCTCACGACTACCTAAAAAAAGGAATTTAGTACGAGAACAAGAGGAGTCCGGGCTGGGGGAACCCTTAGAAGGAAGGAAGGGAGGAAAGATGCTCAGATGCTCATATAGGCATTTTTAATTTGACTAATAAGGTTTTATCTAAGAATCAGCTGAATGTTCTAAGCCAGGCATAGGCAACTTTCGGCACTCCAGATGTTTTGGACTACATCTCTGTGACGAAATGCCTTTTGTCACTGGATTCTTAGGTGATAAGTTGCCCTTTGCCCCTGGCTGTTGGAGGAGCCTGAGTGCCAGCCTCCTGCCTCATGACTATGGCCCTGGGTTGTATGGCACTTTACAAACATTATTTGGGCTAATGGATTTATATTGTGCTGCTGCTGGTCCTTTAAGAACTGCATTGTGGTTTATGGACTTGTATTGGACCATGTTGGCCCTTTAAGAACCGTCTGGGGATATATTGAGACTTTGTGTGACAATGCCCCTTTAAGACTATGTCCCCAGACCGTTAAAATACTTTGTCTATGGCTTTCTCCCCCTTGGTTCAGTAAATGGGGCTTACTGAACCAGGTACCACACAGGCGGACCACCCAGAAGTGGACGTGTGCAGGCAATTTACCTCCCAGGCTGGGAGCCTGCTGTAGGTAAATTGCCGACCGCTGGGTGGCCGCAGTTCGTGCAAACCAACACGTGGCGGCGGCCATCTTTGTTCATTCGCACGAGGTCAGCGGTATGTGTAGCCAACTTCATGGAACTAAAATGACCTGTACCTTCTCCTACACTGAATTTGCAGCTGCAGAGACTAAGTCCCGTTCAGCAGTTTGAACTCGCTGTTATACTAAGCTAAATGCACGAACGGCTCCGTTCGTGCATTCGAATGGGACTTAGTCATTTTTCTGTGTAAAAAAGGGACCTCCAGCTAACTTTTTAACCCCTGGATGGAATTGGCTGAATTTTGGTTATGTTTATATTTAAAGTATGCTGATTAATAAAATGAATATTTTTATGAATATTGGATGTATAGTTTTAGAGTTATGAAAGTTGGGTAAAAAGTGTGTTTTAAAATGTATGGATAATTGGGTTACCTCTCAGTCTAGGGGGAGGAGATGTGTGGGATGTAACCATGGTGTGATTGGGTATTGTGTAATTGTCTGTGGGCGTCTCCCTTGCTACACTCTGGGGATTGCTATAATCACTATACTCCCCAGTATAATCACTAAGCTCTGCTAAGAGCTTGTTCCTGTTCCTGCTCTCTGGAATTCGGAGAGGTCAACCTACTGGAAGCTGGACCCTGGTCTTGGGTCCAGAGTGGGTGGAGACAGTGGTTATGCAGTGGTTATGGTGTCAGGCAGAGTGCTTGGAGGCCTTGGAAAGCACTAAGAGCATCCGTCGGCAGAAGGTACCCAGTCGGGGTGCCAGCGGTTCCGTTACAATCTCCCATGATGCCTTGCCAGCATTATGGCTGTAAGCACATAGGATGTAGTGCACAACATTTGGAGTGCCAAAGGTTGCCTATCCCTTTTCTAACAAATGTCTAAAATTTGCCCCTACTTGTTCCAGTGATCCCTTTAACACTTTCATTGACTTAAAGAAATTCACCAGGAAATTATGGTTAAAATTTCTTTTTTCAACAGTGTAAGGAAACCAAGTCTATTTAAACCTCATTCGGTAGTTTCCTCCCGAACCGCCAGGGCCTTAGTGATTATAGCCCTCCGTTCGGTAGATAGAATAGACGAACCATATAGTAATCCCAATAGCTTCACAAGATGATTCCCTTAGTGAAACACACGAATCCCCAAACATCAGCCGAAGTCAAGAAGAAGGGTACAAAATGAACTAACTTTTAATGGTCACACAGGCTTTTATGCAAGTCCCCATGCAAGGGGACATCCCTCAGGGAGGGACAAACATTAACCAACCACATACTGGAAAACCATAACACACACCCACAGTTCCCTCCCCTAGCTCTGGAGATAATTAAGTCTGATAAAATAATAACTTAATTATCTCCAGACAGAAAAAAAAACCTTTTTCCCAATAACTGGGACACCCCTTTATACTTGGCGTATCCCCACAAATAACATGTCCCCTGATAGCCCTGATCTGGGTGACCAACATATTCGAATTTCACCCAGATCGGTTCAGGGGGTCGCAAACACTATGGAGGTCTTCTGTGACTGGCTCACCCTGGGCTGTATTCCCAAAACAGTTCCATAAGTTTGGTGGGTTTTGCCGGTCACTTTAGAAAGAGGAGAAAAACAAACAAACTACCGAATGGATACCCCTGGCTCTTAACAGCCATCGTCCCCCTCTGTCGAATGCACCAAAGTACCGAATAGCGCTCTTCTAGCTATTCGGTAAGTAGAGTTCCAGCGTTCGTCTGTTTGAGACCGGTGTTTGGGAAGTCGAGTGTCCGATTTCAGTTCCATACACTCGACTAACAAGTCCCGCTGCGAACAAAGATGGCTGCCGGTTTCTCTGCCACGTGGCCTTCGGCAGACGAACGCTGGCCGCACAGACAGAGGCATCAATTGAAGTAATCTTTGATGTTTAACGAGCCAAGGGGGTGGTCTTTGTTCGGTAGTTACATCTACCGAATGCAATAGGCAGAAATAGGGTACTAAAAGGGGGATTTCTTCATAAACAGTAAGGATAGATACTTACAGAATACAGAAATAAAAAAATAAATTAAATTTTTGTCCGAGAGCTGAAATAAGTGGTGCTATGCAAGTCTTTGAAAATTTAGTAATGGAGGAAGTTCGAGGAATCACAAAATACAAAACTAAAAATAAATTCAGTAGAAATAATTAAAATTATGCTGAAAGAAGAGCCTTGACAGAACTTACAAACGACCAAAATATTATTATTATTAAACCTGCTGATAAGAGGTGGGGGAATGTAATCCAAAATCGAAAAAATTATGTAAAATAAATATTTAGACAATTAGAAGACCAAAATACATATAAAAAGCTTACAGGTAATCTATCAGACAATATTAGAATCTTATATAAAATTTTAATCAATGGATTTGAGCTCCAACATAAAGAAACCTAATCTGTCGAAACAGCAACAGGGCCTTATCCATATGCTCTCAGCTCCCCCCTCGCAACAGGCCCCACCACCACGGCCGGCTTCCCCAGCGTCCTCGGTCGACGAGACTCACTTAGACAGCTCACCCTCAAGCCCAACAGAGGACCACGGCCCGGCCTCTAAAAAAGACATACAGGGCATGTTAGCATGCCTGCAAAACAACCTGAAACAGATGTGGGAGGCAGATCTAGCAGCTTTAACCACCACAGTACCCAAGTCCAACAAATACAAACCGCGCAGACCACAATGGCCAGACAGCTTAATGTAATGGACGACATTACATTGGAGGAGGAGTCTGCAGTGGTTATGGTGTCAGCTGGAGTGCTTGGAGCCCTCAGGAAGCGCTAGGAGCAGCCTTCAACGGAGGTACCCAGTCTGGGTGCCAGCTGATCCGTTACACTCTGATGGCTATATTTCATAGATATATAAATTAATAATCATTGCTTTTGATCTCCGGTTTACCAGTAATCTTTACACAGTTAAAGGAAAACTATTGATTCGTCACCAGAACTAGTACTGCTTAATGTTGTGAACCACTATTGACAGATGTACCACTGTAAAAAGCATTGTTTTGTCATTATTTTTAAAAATCTTTAATGAACCCTTTGCACGTTTTAACAAATTGCAAAATTAAAACTGATCTAGCAACAATATTTTATTTATTTTTTTTGTGGCAAAATTTTGAATAAACCTGTCTTTATATCTCCTATCAAGATCTTGATGGTATCCACGGACTGAACTTACATGTTTAATATTGGGAAACAATACAGTTTGACCTATTGTGCTTCTTTATATCCTGAAAATAAATATTCTTCTGAATTAAAACAGAAACCATGAATAATGCATTAAAGCACTGGAAAGAATCTGCTACTCTGATACTTGCAGCAGGATCTCAGAATGGACGTATTGTGCCAAAATGTAAGAATTCAGCTCCGCGTTATTGGCCACAAAATCTGAAAAAGAGCTCTTTTGACTATGATGTTCTCCTATTAAGGCGCAACAAGAAAAGTGGGTTCATGCCAAATGTTTTCGTGTTTCCAGGTGGTCTTGTTGACCCATCAGACTTCTCCAATGATTGGTTAAAGGTGTTTGAAAGAAATCAACAACAACCTAACTTTGGGCTGGGTTTGGTGAAACAGCACCCCAGTACTAGGCCTCCAATGTTTGTCACCGACAGAACTCAGTTTGGATCTCTGGTTCCTGGGGAGGTCGCTTTCCGGATCTGTGCCATCAGAGAGACGTTTGAAGAATCTGGAATTTTGTTGGTGGTTCCTGAGAACTTGGACGTGAAAGTCATCCAGAACACCATGGGGGTCTATGAACATGATCAAGAGTTACTTTCCAAATGGAGAGAGGAAGTTCAGGACAACCCTTTCCAGTTCATCCAGATGTGCAAAGAGATGCGTTGTGTGCCGAACATCTGGGCTCTATATGAGTGGAGCAACTGGCTGACCCCAGTAATACCCAATAGTTCAAGTCTCAGACGTTATGATACAGCTTTCTACATTTGCTGTTTGGAGAAAAGGCCACGTACCAGTGACGACCAGAAAGAAGTCACTTCCTTCAAGGTGAGTGCATTTTCTGATCACGTTTACTGACCTTTCATGAAAAGAAGGAAATGGGTACATTCATACACACACTTACAAACATGCACACAATGACAAATGCCTACACTCACACACAGCCCTACACACCAATGCAGAGATCGATGCACAGATTCGTACATACAACATGACTTCAGGCATTCAGTGAAAGGGAATGTGGTCACTCACTCAGCCCTGTTTACCACCATCCCTCATTTGCCCTGGTTCTCTCCGTGGATCTGTCACCTGTTTTGGCTCAGTGATTTGAAAAAAGATGGGAAGAAAATGTGTGTAGATAACCAAAGGTAGAAAATAAAATGGTACAACCTGTATAGTAATTGGTGGAGTACACTATAAAAATTTATATCTAGGGGAGCAAAAAGAGAATATAGTGCAATACAAGCGGCACAAAAGAGGGGTTTGGGGTTGCTAGAGAACTCACTAGATGTTAGGAAATTCAGGCATGTCTCCTTCAATAATGGAGTAAATCCGCTGGTGGAGAAGATCTTCCAAAGAAACAAACTTCTTCATACAGGTATATCGTCTTAGCTCAAAATAAGGAAGGAAAATATAGTGCAGATTGTATAAAAGTAACACATTTATTGCACTTACAGAATGTCAAATGACAGACAGCACGTCTCCATACAAGAGATGGTATCCAGGTTTCCAACAGATTGCAGGAAAAAATCCCAGGATCACAGATGCAATAAAAACAAACAGAAATAGAAATGAAAAACAATGTTGATACACAATTTGAAACAAGTGTGACCAGCAGCGGACAAATCCTAGAGTTACATGTGTTATTCGTCACAATGTTTCATCCATTAAGTAAATAAAATCCTGTTGCTTTATATATTCCGATTTGTTATTTGAATGTATGATGGAATTAACATCGCATTGTGTTATTCTCTTTGATCTGCTCAGGTGTACTCTGTTTGTTCATGTTCACCCGCTCACCAAATATCCAACCAGGAAGTACTCGGGAGCTGAAAGGTTGGGCAAGCAATTAATCTGGGAATATCTTGAAATGATCTGCTTGCCAAACAGTTGTCTCAGGAGGTCCATTGTACCCCTGGCTGTATGGGCAGTAACCCCTGTGAAGAAATCCCTCTTTATGTATAATATTTCTTCAATATTCATTCGGTAGATATAACTACCGAACATAGACCACCCCCTGCTTCAATTGAACCTTCTATCTGTGCGGCCACCGAACGCCACGTGGCTTAGAAAACGGCGGCCATCTTTTATCATGCGAACAAAGGCAGCGGGACTTGGTCGTCGAGTGTCTGGAACTAAAATTGGAAACTCGACTTCCCGAACACCGGTCTCAACAAGCGACCGCTGGATCTCTATTTCTCGAATAGCTAGAAGAGCGCTATTCTGTACTTTTGTGCATTCGAATGAGGGGAACAATCGCTGCTAAGAGCCAGGGGAATCCATTCATGGAATTATTCTTTTTTTGCCCCTTTACTGAATAGACTGGCAAAACCACCCAAACTCCTGGAACTATTTTTGGCAGCCACCTCATGTTTAGCTGGTCACAAAAGAACCGATCTGGGTGAAATTTGAATATGTTGGTCACCCAGATCGGGGCCATCAGGGGACATTATTTGTGGGGATACCCCATGTATAAAGGGATGTTCTGAATATAGGGAAATATTGTGATTTTTCTGCCTGGAGATAATCAAGTTATTACTTTATCAGACTTGATTATCTCCAGTACTAGGGGAGGGAATTGTATGTTTGTGCTGTGTGTGTTTTACTGTTTTCCTGTAACTGATTGGTTATACTGTGTCCCTCCCTGTGGGATGTCCCCTTGCATGGGGACTTGCATAAAAGTCTGTGTGTGGTCATTAAAAACCAGTTCTGTTGTACCCTTCTTCTTGACTTCGGCTGATGTTTGGGGATTCGTATGCTTTATTAAGGGAATTATCTTATAAAGCTATTTGTATTCGTATGGATTTCGTCTATTTCATCTACCGAACGGAGAGCTATACTCACTGATGCTCTGGCGGTTCGGGAGGAAACTACAGAATGAGGATTGAATATACTAGGTTTCCTTACAACCCCCTCCTATTGAAACCACATTTCAAAGCGAATTTTTATTTGCGTCAAAATAATGGACCTGCCATTTTGAAAATCAAATTCCACTTGTTTTTACTCGTTGTTCCTACGTGAAATTACTTCTGATGAATCTAACCAACACGCCATTATAATGTGTATTTGTAACAAAAAAAAATCACTACTAACAAATTAAATCCTACTCTGAATGTTGGCCCACCCTGTATATTTATTGCTCGCCATTAATTGAACTCCTTTGTGTGATCAGGGGTTAGGATGATCGTATTATAACATGACAGTCTTAGTATATCGTCAATCCCTTTATAGAAGATGTACCAAATCAATTCTCAACACTTTTACTGGGTGAACTCATTGGATATTTGTTTATATTGTTGTAGAAAGTGACATGTCATGGCAGCTGAAAAGGAAGGTTAGATGAAGACGGCTGAGTTAATAATTACCTTGTGCAGAATTCATTTAATTAGCACATCTCTGCAGAGATGAAACCGCGTTTGTTGTCTCTAGATGATTACAAAGATTTGAAAAATAAAAACACACACCGGGTGATTCACTGAGTATCAAACGCAGCCTGGATCAGTAAAATTTGGCTAAAATGACCTATATTTACTAAAGGAAAATCTAAGAGAAATGTTATTTCAGCTGAATGCATATATTTATCTGACGCCTATTTTAAATTCAGTAACAAACATGGGAGTCTTATTTTATAATAGAATTTACAGAATTTGTTACGGTGAATCTACAGATTTCTGCTAGCAGTCAGAGGCCAAATGGTTGAAATAGTAAATATAAAATAACAAATGTAAAAAAATAATATAACTTTCATAAACTTAATATTTTTTTTGCAATTACAACTGGCAACTGAGTGCCTGAAAATCTGGTTGAACCGATCAAATTATCACTATATGTGAGTGTTCAGTTGTGTATTTCCAATCATTCAGTTTCAGACTTCGAAATCTAATCGATAGCTTAGATCAGGGGTACTCAAAAGGTAAATCACCAGATGTTATAGAACTACAACTCCCATGATGCTTTGCATGCCTTTAGAATGACAGAGCATCATGGAAGCTGTAGTTTTAATACATCTGGGGACAGAGGTGTAACTTGAAATCACTGGGCCCCAGTGCAAAAATTGCCCTCGCCCCGCCCCAAGCATCTAATCCCTCCCCCATGCGTCTCATACCCCCCTTTCTTCCCCCGCATGCACCTCATGCCACCAGCCTCTCCATGTGTCATTGCCTTCATCCTATCCCCACCATATGTGTCATTCGCTCCTTCCCAGTAAGTAGTGTCTGTTTCTGTGATTGTGTGTGTGTAGGGATTCAGTATGCAGTGTGTGTGTGTGTGTGTGTGTGTGTGTAGGGATGCAATGTGTGTGTGTGTAGGGATGCAATGTGTGTGTGCGTTGGCTGGGTAGGATAGTGGCTGTGGGGGCTAAAATAGGAGCATCTGTTTTTTTTTATATTTATTTTGTAATAAAAAAATAAATAATAATAATAAAAAAAAAAATATATATATATATATATATATATATTTTTTTTTAATATATCTCCCCCTCCCTGTGTCCAACCAGTATCCAGGGAGGGGGCAGCGTTTTCCTTGGTGGTCCGGTGGTGATGTGGAGGCTCTCTACCTTCACCGCTGCCGGATGAAGGCTCTTGTGTGCGCGTCCTGACACCACGTGTAATCGAACGTTGCAGTGGTTACAGTGGCAACGCTCGGAAAGCAGGGACTCAGCGCGGAGGTGAAGGCAGAGTGCCTCCTCCCCTTCCTGCTGCGCAAACTCTGCAAAGACCCAGGAGGGAGACCAAAAGATCTCCCTGACCGGGTCTGAGTGCTTGTAAGGGGCCCAGGCTCGCAGGGCCCTCAGGTGGCATGGGCCCCTTACAAGTGAAGTGACTGTACCGCCCGACAGGCCCACGGTCGCTGGCATAGTAGCTGCGGCCGGGTCCCCTGAAGTGACCGTGGTAGGTACACAACTGACTGGTGATCTTCCTTTTGGCACCCCTGACTTAAATGAAGACATTTTCCAAATCCTCTATTTTAGCCTAAATTTGCATATTGGTTTCCAAACCCCTGAGCGTTTATTAAATGAATTTATAGAACACTATAGTGTGACCAATACATACATGTATTCCAAATGCTACAGTGTTCTGTTCACTGTTTAGATTCAGGGCCTCCTAAATTAAAATAAAAGGGGAAAAAAAAATGTAAAACTCGCCTGCTCCCTTTAGACTATGGTCCTGCATTTTAAACTTTTATTTTACCGGCAGAAAGGTTTATTCGTGCCTTTCTGCGGACTGTTAAAGCCATGCTACCCCAGATAGCTATGCCATGGAGCCCAGCTGTATACTGAAAGACTGTATGAAAGACTTTGGCTCCATGGCGATTGAACTGTATTTATGTGATCTGAGCGCCATTCGGTAGTAATGTGCACTCAGATCTAAGCTATCTGGGGATATGTAGAATGTCTATGTTTTATGGAATAAATGTAACTGTATGTAATTTTATGTCTTTTATTGTCCTTTGTCTGCCATGTGGTTAATGGAGTTTTGCCTCTGTTCTTGGAGATAATTGGATTACTTCACAATTATCTCCAGGACAGAGAGGAGGGATTGTGATGTAATTGTGGGTGTGTTTTACGGTTCCCCTGTAAATGATTGGTTATACTGTGTCCCACCCTGTGGGATGTCCCCTTGCATGGGGACTTGCATAAAAGTCAGTGTGTGGCCATTACAGGAGTGCCTGCTTAACCCTCAAAGTGAAGTGTCGTCTCATTATTGGGGGAGGATTTATTGTATGCTGTTCCAGTTTGATTGCCAGGAGTGTAAGCTGATTGTATGCTTTTCCTGTAAAGCTGTTTCCAGTATTCGTGAGTTTCCTGTTCAGGAGTTGGAGAATTCGTGTAGTTTGCAGTTCGGGAGATTGGTGCTTGCAGTAGCTGTCTGTGCTTCTGAAAGGGGAATATCGCCTAAACGGTTTTTAACCCCTTTTGGGCAAAACGGTCCGTTACAGATTGGACCAGAAAATGAAGAAGCGATGCCTGGGGGAGGAGCGAGTGGCTGCTCCGGGTAAGTTTCGGTGCTGGAAAGAGGTAAGTTTAAACCTTTTTCCTTTTTTAAAATTTAGAGTAACATTGAGAACAAGAAGTGCATGCGCAACACACTCTTCCAGTTGAATACTCTCTATAATAAGCATAGATTGGTTCTTACAGTTGAAGTGCCTCTAGTGGCTGTTAGTCAGACAGCAGCTAGAGGTGTTTAGCCCTGTGATCTGATCACAATATTGCCATATCTACTGAACAGAAATGTTTTACATTGCAGGGTTAAAATGACAGGACCACTGCACCCAGACCACTTCATTAAGATAATGTAGCCTGGGTGCCTAATTATTTCTCTATGAGAAAAAGCTCAGTATAATGATCAGTGTGTTTCATTTTTGCAATTTTTGTTTTTTAGTGGTTGACCCCTCTGGAAGCTATACAAGAATACTTCTCTCGGAGACTCTTGATCCCGCCTCCTCAGTTGTATGAATTTAGCAGGATGTGCAACTTCATTCATATTCAGGAGCTGTGCAAGTTCAGCCTCCAGCGTGCACTGGAAGGCTGCGAGCAGTGGTTGGGGATCCCAATAACTGTTCAAGATGGCTATGTATATACATTACCAGGTATAGTATCCATGGCTACAAACTTATCTGCTTATATTCAGTAAATGTGGCTTGTGCTTAGTTGATAACCAAAATGTATGGTGGAAATTGGAACACTGTCCAAATTTAGTGATGGCATGACCCAAATTTAGCAAGCCTCCTGACAACTCAACGTTAAGGGATTCAGATGTAACTTTATGTATTTCGAGATACGTGCATGGTACCTGGAACATAATTTCCAACTGTCCTGGATCCAGCAGGACCTTCTCGAATTTTGGTCCTCTTCTAACATCCAGGGTTTGTTTCCTGGTGTCTCTCATCTGGAGACACTAGCAAATTGACCTCAGCAAGCACAACCCATTCTAAGACTTGGTTGTGTTGTGCAAAGTGCGCTCAGGGTAATAATCCAACATGCAGAGCACATATAAAGCTAGAAACAAGGAAAGTCAGGTTCTGTGGAGCCACTGAGTTCATGCTCACCAAGGTAAATACAAAAACTTTACTGTTTCTCATCATAGGACCAAGGCATAACGGGGAGCAAAAGAACAAAAAAGTATGTGTGCAGCTAGTCACTCTGTGATATGTACATTATGCACACCTCTCTGTGTGCTGCATATACCAGGGGAGTTCATTAATAGTAGATTGAGATTCCTACTATGTTACAAAACCCCAAACAAGAATACTGATGGGGTAAAGCAACTGCTATCTCAGATTAATAAAACTACACATCTGGATAATTTGTTAATCATTGGAGATTTTTAACTCTTCCTAACATTGGGATGTTCCACTCCCACCCACCCATTTCAGTCATACTCACAGGGTCGACTTTACTATGTAACTATGTACAGGACAGCTTGAATGAAGATTAACAGGCCATAAAATAGATCTGTTTACCAAACCTGACGAACATAACACTGGAAGAACCAAACACGCACCCAGAGGCAAGGACGACAAGACCCATGACCAAGTGACATCCTCTACCTGAAACATACAAAAACCGAACCACTCAACCCAGAATACTGACATGAGGTTTCGCAATAAACCGTAATGATACCAATGAAATGTAACGAAACTGCAAAATATTGGATATACTACTAACCTACCCCTACCTTTATTCTGTACCTTATACCTCACCTAAACTTGAAAAATAAAAAATGTATTTAAAAAAAAATAAAATAGATTTTTTACTTCCAATTCGAGCAAAAGGTCACAAAATGTCATGTGATAGGAGTTGTAGCCTACTGCTTTCTAAACATCATGCGACAGAGGGTGCTGTATACACCGGCCATTAAAGGGACACTTTAGGCACCCAGACCACTTCAGCTCATTGAAGTGGTCTGGGTACAATGTCCCTATTGCAGTTCCATAGAAACTGGAATGTTTACATTGCAGCTCTAAGTCTGCCCTCAGTGGCTGTCTACCAGACATTCCTGAATTAAAACTGACCTTTTGTCCGCTATCTGATTCTGGATGTCCTGACCTTCAGCGTCAGATTTTTACCCATAGGAAAGCATTGATTCAATGCTTTCCTATGGGTAGGTTAAATGTATGGCATTTGCTGCGCATTAGACCCTGCTCGTCGCGGAAGGAGGCAGAGCGTCGACCAAGCGCTGAGCAACATCGGTGCTGGGAAAAGGTAAGTAAAGAAAGGGTTTTTAATGCTTTATTTACCGTGAGAGGGAGGCGCGAGGGGGGGAGAAATAGTGCCAAGAATACAGCTTTGCGTTCCTGGCACTACAGTATGCCTTTAACAGCTGCGGGTCACATCTAGTGGAAGTGGATACAGTTTCATAGAAATACCTTGTTGACAGTAGCAATGAAGATGAATTTGTAATTTGTCTTTCTGGACCTGATCTGGCAGGGTAATGGCTAAAGTGTTCATGTCCTACAATACCAGTGTTCTTTTGGAAGAGCATAAAAAACATATATACATTGAGCTAGCAAAATGCCATCAAATGTATAGATTCTGAAATATATGTTTAAGAATGTGATCTTTCTGCGCCTATTAATCACTTCTTGGCACAGAGCTCAATGACTAGACTTGAGCTTTGGGGAAAATGCTTACAGGTGGCTCTCCTGCTCTGTCACAGAGCCATTCCCCAATAATAATAATCTAGGTGTTACTTTTCTCCTACTAATCCGGTGACAGAGAAGCCAGCAGGTCAGGGTTATGGCTGATGAATGCTCTGTTTAGGTGGGTGTTCTCAAAAAAGGAAGGGACCTGTGTTAAAGGAACACGCCACACACTTAAAGTGCTTTATCTGTGAACAGTGTGTCCACTTATATCAGTAAATGTTTTTTTGGTAAATTGGCTTGCTGTTCTCAGGCCTGCCAAACCACACAGCTCTTCTGAAAAACTCCCAAATGGCTCCAATGCCAATGCTATGCCTAAATTCTATGGGAATTTAGACTATGGAAACCTGGAGTTGGAGCCACAAATTGGGACGGTCCCTCCAAATCAGTCTATGTTGGAATTGTCAGGATTAGCTGTAAATCCTAATCTCTTGGGAAACTCATTTTTAGTCAGTAAGGGTTGTTTAGATCTGACTAGCATTTTTTTTTCTTTTCTTATAATACATTATATATTGCATTAAAACGTGTGTGTGTGCGTGTGCGTGTGCGTGTCTCTACTCCAGCCTGGACTGTCCTTTTAACCCATTAAATCAGTAATATAGCAATCAGTCAGGGTCAGTTTCACCTGAATTTTTCTGTACCATTTTGATGATATTTATTTTCCATTTTGTAAGGACTCTTTTTTTTTGTGTGGAATATTTCGAGAATGACTTTTCAAGTTAGACACCCAGCTTCCTACTCCACACTGTCAACATCACAAAGTGCCTCTGTTTCACATAACTATCTTGTTTCTGCAGGTGATAGCTTGTTTCCAGAAAATCCTGACCTTACAGGAGAGAGGCCGACGCTTCAGTCTACAAACAAAACCCTTGAAGATTTTTCGCGAGATGGACAACACCATAACAGAGTCCTGGAACAAAATAAGATGATGAGTTTAGATGTTAATATTGAACAGAAATACAAACATCTCAGTCCCATCAAAACAGATGTTCCTTGTAACACAGAGCCAAAGAGTAAGATGTGAATCCATGTTTGAATTGGCAACATTTAGATCCATTCTCAAAAAATATTGTGCGAAAATAAAACTCCACAAAAATAAAGATCTTTTCAATAATTTTGAAATAGTAAATTCTTAGATAACACAAGCGCTTGGCTGTGCTCAGAAAATTCCCACAATAAACAGGACGAACAGCAGTATCCCTGAGATTTCCTCAGGTTCTGTTTTCCATGCAGGTCTCCATCCTTAGGGTGTATTGTTTGGCCCACGTGGCTGCTTTCCTCTTTTTTCATTTATACATGACAACTTGGCCTGATAAATTTGGTTGGAATATAGGAGCCAGCTAAAAAAAAATTAGGAGCCAGTATTTTTCTTTCTTGTTTAAACAAATTCTAAAAGGGACACTCTAGTCACCAGAACCACTACTAACAACCATTTTTAAATGGGTTACCAAAACAAACAATTTATGACCATAAGTTTGGTATACATGAGCAAGAGTTGTTGACGGACCTGCTTAACCCCTTAACGACGAGTGACGGACAAGGTCCATCACTCAGGGGATTGCCATAACAACGAGTGACGGACCTCGCCTGTCACCCGTTAAAATTAACCCCGGATCGCCGCGATTACGGCGTTAATGATGCTCCGGTCTGCCTCTGTATTAGAGGCAGACCGGGAGCACCCGATCTGGCTGCCCCAGCACATGTGCTCGCTTTTATTTTATTTATTTAGCTAGCTGGGGTGGGTGGAAGTTAGTGGGGAATTGGGGGATTTGGTGTTAGGCTAACCAGGGGTAACGTTAAAAAAAGTTTTAAAAAAAAACTTAAAAAAGTTAAAAATTAAGCTAAAAATTTTTTTAAAAATCCCCTTTACCCAGTCCAAATAAAAATTAACCCCTTCCCTGCCAGTCGATCACTGCCTACAGTGATCAAAATACAGATCACAGTATTATGCTGTGATCTAATTTTTTTTTAACCCCTGAGGATTAACTTTTATTTATTTTTTAACCCTCAGGGGTTCAATTTACTTAATTAATTAATTTAAATATTTTATAATTATATATTTTGCTAGCTGGGGTGGGTGGGAGTTATGGGAAAATGGGGAATTTACTGTTAGTGCTGCAGAAAGCTTAGAAAAATGTTAAATCTGTAAAAAAAAAAGTTTTAAGAAAGTTTAAAAAATTAATAAGCAAAACAAAAGTTTAAAAACTATTTTTTAAAAGTAAAAAAAGTTTAAAAAAGTAAAAAAATACATTTAAAAACGCTCATTACCACTACACCTGGAACAAACTAGAGAAAAAATGATCCCACGCTAAGGTTCAAAATATGCCTTTTGAATTACCCCAGGGTGTATTCTTTAATAAATAGTATGTGTTTGTGGGGAAGTTTCAATAACCAACCATCTAAACTACTCCAAATTGGAACATGGACACCGTAAAACTTCAAAGTTAGAAAATAACTGAATGGCTGCATCTCAAATGCGCCCCTTCAACATCCACATATACCTGGCAAAGGTACATACGTGGTATTGCTGTACTCAGAGCAACATATGAAGTATTACAGTCGTAGCACACATAAGGTTTGCAAAATATACTATGCAAACTCACTTTGTGTGTCAAAAAGGCAGAAAAAAACACTTATTACCACTACATTTGGTACAAGCTAGCGGAAAAATAATCCCACTCTAAGGTTCAAAATATACCTTTAGAAATACCCTGGGGTATCTATTTTAAGAAATGGTAGGCCTTTGTGGGGTAGTTTGAATTTAAACCCTGCTAAGATGCTTGGAAATTGCACACAGGCCCAGCGTCAAAATTCAAAGTTCGGTAAAAACTGATATGGCTTGGTTCTCTTATATGGCACTGTAGCTTCACGAAATAGTGCCAAAGACATACAACGGGGGTGTCATTTTACTCAGAAGACTTAGTCGAGCATAATTTGGGGGGTTTGAACTTAGTGGCACATGTGAAATATACAAAATGCCCAGCAAAAATGCAATCCATATGTAAAAAACGCACAATTTTTTTTTTACCACATACTTTGGCATATATTGGTGAAAAAATGGGGGCATGTTAAGGCACAATATACACCTTATGAGATACCCTGGATTGTCTACTTTTACAAATGGTAGGCCTTTGTGGGCTTTTTTGAACAGTGAAACTGTTATAATACCCCAAATGGAAGCATAGGCTCATTAAATCAGTCTCTCAAAATTCTACTGTGAATACTGAAAAGAACAGGCCTCCTATATGGCACTGTAATTTCACAAAATAGTGCCAAAGACATACAATGGGGGTGTCCTTTTACTCAGCAGATGTAACTGAACACAAAATAAAACTTTGTACAGGAATAGCACACACCAGCTTTACAAAATACACATGAGAAGTTCTTTGTTATAAGTTTGTGTGTAAAAAAACAAAAAAAAACACAATTTTACTCCAATATTTAGCAGAGGTTGGCGGTGAAATGGCTACGTAGAAAGTGTCAAAACAACCTTAGGTAAATAGCTGTGATGTCTACTTTATATAAATATATACTTTTGTGTGGCAATTTTGTTTTCTTTTATGGCTATTAAGCTTACAAGACAAACATACCAAATTCTAAAATCGCTCCACATTAAAAGTTTATTTTACTCCTTGTGCTTTGTGACCTGTAACTACCAAAAAAAAAAACTGAAAATCCCAGACACATTATATATTCTGTAAATCAAAACAACTAAATTAATTTATTTTTAATTACTTTCCTTAACCTGCACTAATTATGCACACATTATTATTGCAAAAACTCTAAACAAAAACCCACATACATTTTTTTTGCATTTTTCTGTATTTTTTTTTTACAATAAATAAGCATTTATAAATATGTGTGTTACATCAAATTAAAGCCCTTTCTGTCCTTAGAAAACAATATATAATGTGTGTCAGTGCAATAAATTAGTAAAATGCAAATTGCAGTTGAACGCAAACAGCAAAAAATGAAAAAAATCCTGTTGTCATTAAGTGTGTAACCGCGGCTGGTTCCCTTATTTACCACTATAATGTCCAGTGGCGGACTAAGGGGGGGGGCGGACCGCCCCGGGTGCCACCTGGTAGGAGGGGTGCCATGACCCTGGTCTGAGGGCTAATGGGGGATGTGTGAGCTGCGCCCCATGGCAGCTGGGGTGTCACACAGAGTGACCAGCAAGATGAACTGGCCGCACGGAATGAATAAGGGGGCGGCGCTACGGACATTAAGGGGCGGGCCAATCCAAGAGCAGGGGCGGGGCTTAACTCTGTCCTTACCCACTGCTGTTACTGCTGCACATGGTGGTGCAGCCAGAAGAAATCTCTGCTCCTCCACCGAACAGGCTCCAGGGAATCCACTCCTCCAGCCCCTGTCTGTAAGTGAGTGAGTGAGTGTGTGTGTAACTGTCTGCCTGACCCTGTAACTGTGTGTGTGTGTCTGTCATTGTCTGCCTGACCCTGTAACTGTGTGTGACTGTCTGTAACTGTGTGTGTGTGTGTCTGTAACTGTCTGCCTGTAACTGTGTGTGTTTGCGTAACTGTCTGCCTGTAACTGTATGTGTGTATAACTGTCTGCCTGTAAATATGTGTATATGAGACTGTCTGTCTGTAACTGTGTGTGTGTGTATAACTGTCTGCCTGTAACTGTGTGTGTGTAACTGTGTGTGTATATATATATTTATATATATATATATATATATATATAAGCGGTCTGCCTGTAAATATGTGTGTGTCATTGTCTGCCTGTAACTGTGTGTATGTGTAATTATTTTCTAAAATTATTATTGAAGGGGGGGGTGCCAAACCCCAGACTCGCCCCGGGTGCCACATGCTCTAGGTACGCCCCTGATAATGTCTTAAAGCATAGAACTTAGTAGGGCTAACCATACAGATATCTTAGCCATAATTTTATATAGTTAGTGTAAGAGATCCTCTATTTAACATATATAAAAAATTGAGAATACAATATAAAATAAGGATTGTCTTGGAAGCAATAGTTTTGTCTTTTTGGATATTTATTATATAAAAATATAAATATAGACATATAAAATCCATTATAGCAGAGTTAATAAGATTAAACTAAATTCTTGCAAATATCATTAATAGGTTAACATACCCTTCTGAACATGTCATCATGTCAGCCTCTCTGTCATTTTAAGATGGAGCGGCGTCTGTCTCCAAGTCTCTCCTCTGTTTTTTAACATTTTAAAAGAACACCTATTTATACCTTAGGTATCTTTATTTTATGGTCACCATAGTTCATATATGAAAAAGTAACACTTCTTTTACTTTATTCATTTTAGGTCCTCCCTTAATTTGGCAAACATACAAGGCCATAACTAAAGGGTGTATACGTCATGGAAATTTTCCTGATTTAGTTCAAGATGGCATCTTAAAGTCTGAATAGGTTATCTGTTGTCTAAGACGTAAGTGCACAGTCGTGGGAGATTCCCGGATTTGGGGAAGTTCCATTAACTTGGGGTTACCACAGTATATTGTGTACTGCAAGTGTCGTAGTATAGCCTTGAAGCTTGTTTATGCATTATTGTTATTGTAATTCGTCTGGGACAAAAAGGCGCAAACATATTATGCACTGGGGTTACTGCTTAAAGAAACAGTTAGGAAAAACAATATGTTCCATTTCTAACACCATGTCAATTTGCAATATCTCTTAAAGGGACACTATAGTCACCTGAACAACTTTAGCTTAAAGGACCACTATAGTGCCAGGAAAACATACTCGTTTTCCTGGCACTATAGTGCCCTGAGGGTGCCCCCACCCTTAGGGTCCAACTCCCACCGGGCTGGATGGCGAAGAAAGGGTTAAATCTTACCTTTTTTCCAGCGCCGGACAGGGGGCTCTCCTCCTCCTCTTCAGCTGAATGCGCATGCGCGGCAGGAGCTGCGCGTGCATTCAGCCTGTCTCATAGGAAAGCATTCATAATGCTTTCCTATGGACGCTTGCGTCTTCTCACTGATTTTCACAGTAAGAAGCACGCAAACGCCTCTAGCGGCTGTCAATTAGACAGCTACTAGAGGCTTTAGAGGCTGGATTAATCCTATTATAAACATAGCCGTTTCTCTGAAACGGCTATGTTTATAAAAAAAAGGGTTAATCCTAGAGGGACCTGCCACCCAGACCACTTCATTAAGCTGAAGTGGTCTGGGTGCCTAGAGTGGTCCTTTAATGAAGCAGTTTTGGTGTATAGAACATGCCCCTGCAGCCTCACTGCTCAATCCTCTGCCATTTAGAAGTTAAATCCCTTTGTTTATGAACCATAGTCACACCTCCCTGCATGTGACTTGCACAGCCTTCCATAAACACTTCCTGTAAAGAGAGCCCTATTTAGGCTTTTTTATTGCAAGTTCTATTTAATTAAGATTTTCTTATCCCCTGCTATGTTAATAGCTTGCTAGTCCCTGCAAGAGCCTCCTGTATGTGATTAAAGTTCAATTTAGAGATTGAGATACAATTATTTAAGGTAAATTACATCTGGTTGAAAGTGAAAACAGTTTTTTTTTTTTAATGCAGGCTCTGTCAATCATAGCCAGGGGAGGTGTGGCTAGGGTTGCATAAACAGAAACAAAGTGATTCAACTCCTAAATGACAGTGAATTGAGCAGTAAAATTGCAGGGGAATGATCTATACACTAAAACTGCTTTATTTATCTAAAGTCATTTAGGTGACTATAGTGTTCCTTTAAAGACAAAATACACAGTTTAAGAAATACAACATTTAATTCTAAAACTTGTAATATTTGCATTTGCCCATAACAAGTGAAAGACAAGCTTCTGAAGCTCTGTTCTTAAGGGGTTAAAAACTACATTCTATGATGTAAACAGTGCTGAGTTAACTATTGTTGATGCAATATGGTTTCTGACCACTAGATATCAGTCTAAGATTAAAGGTTTCCAATGAAGGCATTGGCAGTATCATTGATGTTTGTCTCTAAACAGTGACAAGCCACATACTCTTAATAGATTTGCAAAACTTAGTTCATAATCTCACATATGAACAAAAAAAACTCCTCTTCTTAAAGGAATACCCTAAGTACCATAACCACTACAGCTCACTGTAGTGGTTAAGGTGTCAGGAGTGCCCCATCAACCTCCCAATGTAAGTTGTTTTACCATTATTGAACTGTTTAAGTTCTTACCTAGCATCTCCCAGGCGCTGCTCCCCACATTCCCTTTTTTTTTTTTTTTTTTTTAATTCTTTATTTTATTGTGCATGAATATGACAATCAGGCTTGCCGTGCCACAACAGCTTGGGCAAACAGATTAAGACATTAATATACATATGAATGGCGCGTGATATTACTGCACATTTTTGTTAAAATTACTACATTGCAGAACAAGAAAAAACAGTCTAGGCCTACAGTTGCTAGAATATGTGGTGTGATTGGAGTGTGCTCAGCTATGCCCTGTTGTTAGTCCACACTGACTGTACTATAAGTGTACTGTGGTTTTGAGGTGGGTGGTCCAATGTGTAAGTGAGCAGGCTATCCGTCTTGTCCCTTGGATAGGTTAGATTTAGTTTGTTCACCGTGTGTTGCGCGGTGCGTTCCTAGCCCTATCAGGTGGAGTTACGGTACATATTCGGTATGCCACTGGGGCACAATATATAAGTGTATGGCCGGTCAGTGTGGCGGGGGGGGCAGGGAGTTAGCTAGCTAGTCAATTGTCCCAAGGTGCGGGCTACTGCAGGCATTAGGTTCTATTGGGCTAGTGCTCCAGCAGGTAGGTTGTCGCAGCTTTCGAGTGTGTCACCTAGAGAGTAGCCCTCTTGGTGTGCCGTGATAGCAGCGTTGTGTTATAGATGTTTGGTGAGGATGCATGCTGGTTCGTGTGCTGTGACTATTGCTGTGAAGGGGGGGTGTGCTGCTTGGATTTGGGAGCTGGTTTATCGTTCCCGTTTGGGTGGAGTAGCTATTGAATCGCTCTAGGGCCCCTGAGTTGGTGGGGGGGGGGTAGTCGGGTGGTGTGTCTGGCAAGAAGTGGTGTGGGGACGTTAGTAGGTTATAGTAGCCGGATGGCTTTGACTGAACATGCCTACATAAAATTTTAACTTTATGACTATGTCAACATTAAGGGGTATTATCGCCTGCCAGTCCTTCGGCACTTCCCTCTACCAGAGGGGTATTGTGAGCCCGGGTCTGGTTGGGGCGTCTCATCCTGTGTCGGCTTCATTGCGAGGTACAAAGGGGACTATGTTGGATATGTCCCAGGAATGTCCAGGTTTGGCAGTGTCGGGCTTGTGCCGGTTGAGCCCCAGGCTGTGGAGGAATGGGTCGGCGTCAGCAGCTGAGGTGAGTCGGCGGGTGGTCTCGCCCTGTGTGGCTACGAGTGTGTGGGAAGGGCCCCATCTGTACTGGATGCCTGCTTCTCGAAGGGTCTTGGTGACCTGGCTGATAGAACGTCTCCACTCCAACGTTGCCCTGCAGAGATCCTGGAGAAAGGTTAGTTGGGAGCCCTCAAATTTGAGCGGGCTCTTGTTCTTGATGGCGTCCATCAGTGCTTGTTTGTCGCGTAGGGACTGGAACCTCAGGAGGACATCGCGGGGAGCGTCTGCTGGAGCCCTTGCGGACTTGGGGAGTCTGAGTATTCCATCTAGTTGCAGGTTCTTCGCCTGTTTGGGGTGCAGGGTCTCCGACAGGAGGCGCCTAATAAAGTGGGGTAGCTCCGTGTCGTTGACAGCTTCTGTGATGCCTCTTACTTTTATGTTGATTCGTCTCCTAGAGTCGTCCATCGCATTGACTCTGGCCTGCAGGGCCTGGTGTGAGCCTTGGAGTTGTTGTAGTCGTTCTGTTGCGTCTGTCTGGCATTGTGCCATGGAGGTGATATCCTCCTCTGTGGCCTTCACCCTGTCCGTCACGGCTGTTACCTCCTCACGGAGCAGCGCCATATCCGTACGGAACCATGTGCGCAGGTGTTTCAGGAGGCCCAGGATGTCTCCCTTCGTTGCGGGAGCCCCCAGGTCCCCTAATTGCACGGCGGAGAAAGGGTCATCTGCCTCAGGTATGGCATCTGGGGAGTCCAGTGGGTCTTCGTCCGAGGATAGGCGTGGGGAGTCTGGCGCTGCCGCCATTTTGGTTTTAGGCCTCGCCAGGAATATGTCTCCTATTCGACGCGTGCCGTCGTCCGAGGATGCTTTCAGCTTCTTTGATCGTTTCCCCATATTGTTGTGCAGGGGTATGCTTAGTTTTCGGCGGTGCACCGTCTATTTTGTAGTCGTTAGCTAGGTTATTTGCCGCTTTCAGCTCGGAGCTCAGCCGACATGCGACTTCTTTCCATGAAGGTCAGGCCCCGCCCCCCCCCACATTCCCTTTTAATGCTAGATGCTCCTAAGCAGAAACTTCCATTAGTTCTCCTTACCTAGGCCCCGCTATGCCTAGTTCATTGGTTGAGAGTGTCAGCTGATCATTCTCATCCCATGAGCTAAGCCCTGCATTGCACGACTTGGCTCAGGAAAGCTAGCACAGGTTCCTCCTTAGGAGTTTCCAGCATTAGTAGTTGAGGCAGGGAGCAGCGCCTGGCAGACCAGGTAAAGCTGTTCAAAAACATTTTAACTTACAATGGCGTGGTGCAAGGGCACATCTGGCAAAATAACTACTACTACTGCAAGCTGTAGCAGTTATGGTGCCTGGAGTGTTACTTAAAGGGACACTCCTGATTGTAGGTAAGTGCAATGTTTTACTAAAAGAGTGCTGTAAGGAAACCAAGTCTATTTAAACCTCATTCGGTAGTTTCCTCCCGAACCGCCAGAGCCTTAGTGATTATAGCCCTCCGTTCAGTAGATAGAATAGACGAACCATATAGTAATCCCAATAGCTTCTCAAGATGATTCCCTTAGTGAAACACACGAATCCCCAAACATCAGCCGAAGTCAAGAAGAAGGGTACAAGATGAACTAACTTTTAATGGATACACACAGCTTTTATGCAAGTCCCCATGCAAGGGGACATCCCTCAGGGAGGGACAAATATTCACCAATCATATACTGTAAAACTTTAACACACACCCACAGTTCCCTCCCCTAGCCCTGGAGATAATTAAGTCTGATAAAAGAATAACTTAATTATCTCCGGGCTGAAAAATCACTTTTTTCCCCAATAACTGGATCACCCCTTTATACTTGGGGTATCCCCACAAATAACATGTCCCCGGATAGCCCTGATCTGGGTGACCAACATATTCGAATTTCACCCAGATCGGTTCAGGGGATCGCAAAAACTATGGATGTATTCTGTGACCGGCTCACCCTGGGCTGTATGCCCAAAACAGTTCCATGCGTTTGGTGGGTTTTGCCGGTCACTTTAGAAATAGCAGAAAAGCGAACAAAGTACCGAATGGATCCCTCTGGCTCCTAGCAGCGTTCGTGCCCCTCTGTCGAATGCACCAAAGTACCGAATAGCACTCTTCTAGCTATTCGGTAAGTAAAGTTCCAGCATTCGTCTGTTTGAGACAGGTGTTCGGGAAGTCGAGTGTCCGTTTTCAGTTCCATATACTCGACGACCAAGTCCCGCTGCCTTTGTTCGCATGAACAAAGATGGCCGCGGTTTTCTCTGCCACGTGGCGTTCGGCTGTACGAACGCTGGCCGCACAGACAGAGGTAGCAATTGAATCAGTCTTTGATGTTTAACGAGCCAGAGGGGTGGTCTTTGTTCGATAGTTACATCTACCGAATGCAATGGGCAGAAATAGTGTAACAAAAGGGGGATTTCTTCACAAGTGCATTTAACAAAAGTTGCAAAAATAACTGTAAGGAAACCTAGTATATCCAATCCTCATTCGGTAGTTTCCTCCCAAACCGCCAGAGCATCAGTGATTAAAGTTCTCCGTTCGGTAGAAGAAATAAACAAAATCCATACGAACACAATAGCTTTACAAGTTGATTCAATTAATAAAGCATACGAATCCCCAAACATCAGCCGAAGTCAAGAAGAAGGGTACAACAGAACTGGCTTTTAATGACCACACACTGGCTTTTATGCAAGTCCCCATGTAAGGGGACATCCCACAGGGTGGGACACAGTACAACCAATCATTTACAGGAAAACCATAAAACAAACCCAGCACAAACATACAATTCCTTCCCCTAGTCCTGGAGATAATCAAGTCTGATAAAGTAATAACTTGATTATCTCCAGGCAGAAAAATAAAAATTTTCCCCAATATTCAGAACACCCCTTTAGGCATGGGGTATCCCCACAAACAATATGTCCCCTGATAGCCCCGATCTGGGTGACCAACATATTCAAATTTCACCCAGATCGGTTCTTTTGTGACTGGCTAAACATGAGGTGGCTGCCAAAAATAGTTCTAGGTGTTTGGGTGGTTTTGCCGGTCTATTCAGTTCAGTAGCAAAAACCAAATAATTCCACGAATGGATTCCCCTGGCTCTTAGCAGCGATTGTTCCATTATTCGAATGCACAAAAGTACCGAACAGCGCTCTTCTAGCTGTTCGGGAAATAAAGATCCAGCGTTCGCTTGTTGAGACCGGTGTTCAGGAAGTCGAGTGTCCGATTTTAGTTCCAGACACTCGACGACCAAGTCCCACTGCCTTTGTTCACATGAAAAAAAGATGGCCGCCGTTTTCTCAGCCACGTGGCGTTCGGTAGTACGAACGCCGGCCGCAAAGATAGAGGGTTCAATTGAGGCATTCTTTGAAGTTTAACGAGCCAGTGGGGTGGTCTCTGTTCGGTAGTTAAATCTACCGAATGAATAGGGAAGAAATATTGCACATAAACAAGGGATTTCTTCACAATAACTTTGATGGTTTTTTTTTTTTTTTTTGCAACTTCTTTGATGCAGAGATATCCTATAAAATTTAAATTAGATTATGATTGAGGTGTTCTCTATGGAAATCGTGAATATCAGCACAACTCCCACCATGGATAAACCCCATCCCCCCTGATGCTCTGGGTACACTCTTACACGTACAGGCACCTGCACACTGTTGCTTTACAAATTGATGTGAACATGGGTGTTCTTTTAAAAGTGCCATGCATGTGCCCACAAATAAAGTGTTATGGATATTAAAGGAAAACTGCAAGCACCGTAACCATTACAGCATGGTGTAGTGGCTATAGGGCCAGGGGCGCAATTTGTCAAACTGCTTCTGTGCACTATAACTAAACGGTTTGACAAATGTCACTTCGGCGGCTGCACCATGCCTCCATGTCACCTGTTTCTGAACTAAGCCTGACAATGCATCCACTGATAACCTCTTCATCTACATTACATAGTCCAGTGATGAATTGCGGAGATGCTTTTGAATTAAGAGTACCTTTCCCTCTGTATTGGACACGTGACTCAGGATTCCCTCCCTCCGTCCCCCACTCCTTCAGCATCATAGGATTACTCCGATGCCAGACTCTGATTCCAAAGTATAGTGGAGGTGACCTCTGACACTACATTTCCCCTATGCCAGACCCATTATCTGTGTTATAGGGGTTCACTCTGACACTGTCTGCCCCCCTATACCAGACCCATTATCTGTGTTATAGGGGTTCACTCTGACACTGTGTCTGCCCTCCTATACCAGACCAATTATCTGTATTACAGGGTGTGGCAGAACCAGCCTCGCCACTGGGCATTGGAGAAGACTGATTGCCAGCCTCCTGCCCTGTAACTATGGCCCCATGTTAAATGCTGGATTTTCCCCTTCAAAGACCCGAAAGCCGGGTCATTCGGTACTTTCCCTATGTGAGCAGTGTTACCCCAGATAGCTATGCCATGGAGCCCATTCGTATAACGAAAGACTATGTGAAAGCCTTTGGCTCCATGGCAATTGAACTGTATGTATGTGATCTGAGTGCCATTCAGTAATAATTTGCGCTCAGATCTAAGCTATCTGGGGATATGTTGAATGTACCCGTTTTATGCAATCGCTGCACAGTTATATATTTTTATGTATTTTATTGTATTTTGCTACCATGTCGCTAATGGAGTTTTGCCTCTGTCCTTGCAGATAATTGGATTACTTCCCAATTATCTCCAAGATAGAAGACTCTGTGGAACTGGTTTTGGGCAGAAAAACCATGCTTCATTTTGTCAAATAGGACTTTCCTCTAAGTTTTTAACCTCTGAACCGATCGCCCTGATTTTTGAGTATGTGTATATTTCAAGCATGCGGATTCTGAAAATGTATATTTTATGTGAATGGCATGTATATTTTGGAAGTTATTAATATTTTGTAAAAACTGTATTTCTCTGCCTGTGATAATTATATTACCCATTGTGTTCAGTAATCATATCACAGGCAGAGGGGAGGATTTTTTGTGGGAGTGTCTGTGTGTATTGTACGTATTGATTGGTTGTATTTCAGAACCCTGTGGGCAGTACTATGTTTGTGGATTGTGAATAAAAGAGGCTGTATGTGCCAGTACAGTCAGCTCTGCTTGACCTCAAAACGAAGTGTCGTCTCATTAATTGGGGGGATTGGATTGTATGCTGATTGCCAGGACTGTGAGCTGATTGTATGCTTTTCCTGTTCAGCTGCTTACAGCATTCATATGCTTGAGAGCATTCATATGCTTCTCCGGTTCGGTGGTTGTGGTGTCTGCTGCAGTGCTTAGAGTCCTCAGGAAGCACTAGGAGCATCCTTCAACGGAGGTACACAGTCGGGGTGCCAGGTGATCCGTTACACAGGGGTTCAATCTGACACTGCGTCTGCCCCCCTATACCAGACACCCGGTATCTGTATTATAGGGGTTCACTGTGACCCCCGGTATCTGTATTATAGGGGTTCACTGTGACCCCCGGTATCTGTATTATAGGGGTTCACTGTGACCCCCGGTATCTGTATTATAGGGGTTCACTCTGACACCCGGTATCTGTATTATAGGGGTTCACTGTGACCCCTGGTATCTGTATTATAGGGGTTCACTGTGACCCCTGGTATCTGTATTATAGGGGTTCACTCTGACCCCTGGTATCTGTATTATAGGGGTTCACTCTGACACCCGGTATCTGTATTATAGGGGTTCACTGTGACCCCCGGTATCTGTATTATAGGGGTTCACTGTGACCCTGGTATCTGTATTATAGGGGTTCACTCTGACACCCGGTATCTGTATTATAGGGGTTCACTGTGACCCCTGGTATCTGTATTATAAGGGTTCACTCTGACCCCTGGTATCTGTATTATAAGGGGTTCAGTCTGACACCCGGTATCTGTATTATAAGGGGTTCAGTCTGACACCCGGTATCTGTATTATAGGGGTTCACTCTGACACCCGGTATCTGTATTATAGGGGTTCACTCTGACACCCGGTATCTGTATTATAGGGGTTCACTGTGACACCCGGTATCTGTATTATAGGGGTTCACTGTGACACCCGGTATCTGTATTATAGGGGTTCACTGTGACACCCGGTATCTGTATTATAGGGGTTCACTGTGACACCCGGTATCTGTATTATGGGGGTTCACTCTGACACCCGGTATCTGTATTATAGGGGTTCACTCTGACACCCGGTATCTGTATTATAGGGGTTCACTGTGACACCCGGTATCTGTATTATAGGGGTTCAGTCTGACACCCGGTATCTGTATTATAGGGGTTCACTGTGACACCCGGTATCTGTATTATAGGGGTTCACTCTGACACCCGGTATCTGTATTATAGGGGTTCTCCTGACACCCGGTATCTGTATTATAGGGGTTCACTGTGACACCGGTATCTGTATTATAGGGGTTCTCTGACGGTATCTATAGGGGGGGTGTGACACCCGGTATCTGTATTATAGGGGTTCATCTGACACCCGGTATCTGTATTATAGGGGTTCACTCTGACCCCCGGTATCTGTATTATAGGGGTTCTCTCTGACACCCGGTATCTGTATTATAGGGGTTCAGTCTGACACCCGGTATCTGTATTATAGGGGTTCAGTCTGACACCCGGTATCTGTATTATAGGGGTTCACCCCCGGTATCTGTATTATAGGGGTTCACTGTGACCCCCCTGGTATCTGTATTATAGGGGTTCACTCTGACACCCGGTATCTGTATTATAGGGGTTCTCTCTGACACCCGGTATCTGTATTATAGGGGTTCTCTCTGACACCCGGTATCTGTATTATAGGGGTTCACTGTGACCCCCGGTATCTGTATTATAGGGGTTCACTCTGACACCCGGTATCTGTATTATAGGGGTTCTCTCTGACACCCGGTATCTGTATTATAGGGGTTCACTGTGACACCCGGTATCTGTATTATAGGGGTTCACTCTGACACCCGGTATCCGTATTATAGGGGTTCACTCTGACACCCGGTATCTGTATTATAGGAGTTCAATGTGACACCCGGTATCTGTATTATAGGGGTTCAGTCTGACACCCGGTATCTGTATTATAGGGGTTCACTCTGACACCCGGTATCCGTATTATAGGGGTTCACTCTGACACCCGGTATCTGTATTATAGGAGTTCACTGTGACACCCGGTATCTGTATTATAGGGGTTCAGTCTGACACCCGGTATCTGTATTATAGGGGTTCACTCTGACACCCGGTATCCGTATTATAGGGGTTCACTCTGACACCCGGTATCTGTATTATAGGGGTTCACTCTGACACCCGGTATCCGTATTATAGGGGTTCACTCTGACACCCGGTATCTGTATTATAGGGGTTCACTGTGACACCCGGTATCTGTATTATGGGGGTTCACTCTGACACCCGGTATCTGTATTATAGGGGTTCACTCTGACCCCCGGTATCTGTATTATAGGGGTTCACTGTGACACCCGGTATCTGTATTATAGGGGTTCAGTCTGACACCCGGTATCTGTATTATAGGGGTTTACTGTGACACCCGGTATCTGTATTATAGGGGTTCACTCTGACACCCGGTTCACTCTGACACCCGGTATCTGATTGTATGCTTTTCCTGTTCAGCTGCTTACAGCATTCATATGCTTGAGAGCATTCATATGCTTCTCCGGTTCGGTGGTTGTGGTGTCTGCTGCAGTGCTTAGAGTCCTCAGGAAGCACTAGGAGCATCCTTCAACGGAGGTACACAGTCGGGGTGCCAGGTGATCCGTTACACAGGGGTTCAATCTGACACTGCGTCTGCCCCCCTATACCAGACACCCGGTATCTGTATTATAGGGGTTCACTGTGACCCCCGGTATCTGTATTATAGGGGTTCAGTCTGACACCCGGTATCTGTATTATAGGGGTTCAGTCTGACACCCGGTATCTGTATTATAGGGGTTCACTGTGACACCCGGTATCTGTATTATAGGGGTTCAGTCTGACCCCCGTATCTGTATTATAGGGGTTCAGTCTGACACCCGGTATCTGTATTATAGGGGTTCAGTCTGACACCCGGTATCTGTATTATAGGGGTTCACTGTGACACCCGGTATCTGTATTATAGGGGTTCACTGTGACACCCGGTATCTGTATTATAGGGGTTCACTGTGACACCCGGTATCTGTATTATGGGGGTTCACTCTGACACCCGGTATCTGTATTATAGGGGTTCACTGTGACACCCGGTATCTGTATTATAGGGGTTCAGTCTGACACCCGGTATCTGTATTATAGGGGTTCAGTCTGACACCCGGTATCTGTATTATAGGGGTTCACTCTGACACCCGGTATCTGTATTATAGGGGTTCACTGTGACACCCGGTATCTGTATTATGGGGGTTCACTCTGACACCCGGTATCTGTATTATAGGGGTTCTGGCAGTTGTTACCATGGAGATGGAATACCTGTGGTGTTTACTCTCCCGCGAGGGCCGGATCCTCCCAGTACCGGAAGTGACGCCATGCGCTCCCCGGAAGTGCGCAGTTGTGGCGCTGTGCGCTCTGTGCGGCGGGGTTTCTGTGGGCGGAGTCAGTGTGACCGTTACTGGCAGGGAGCACGCGGACTGTGGTGTCAGATAGCAGGTAACGGGTTACAGCACGTGGCGACTGGCATGGAATGATAAGTGCTGCCGTGCTGTATGTAGCGTTCGAATGCTGCATACCGCAAAGGGGAGATTGAGTGAGGAGGGCAGCGTATCAATGCTACATACAGTAAGGAGAACCTGTCTGTGTGGGGTGCAGCGTATCAATGCTCCATACAGTAAGGAGAGACTGTGTGGTGCAGCGTTTCAATGCTACATACAGTAAGAATAGACTCTTAGTGGAGAATGCAGCGTATCAATGCTACATACAGTAAAGAGAGACCATCTTAGTGTGGTGTGCAGCGTGTTAATGCTACATACAGTAAGGAGAGACCGTCTTAGTGTGGGGTGCAGCGTATCAATGCTACATACAGTAAAGAGAGACCATCTTAGTGTGGGGTGCAGCGTGTCAATGCTACATACAGTAAGGAGAGACTGTCTTAGTGTGGGGTGCAGCGTGTCAATGCTACATACAGTAAGGAGAGACCGTCTTAGTATGGGGTGCAGCATATCAATGCTACATACAGTAAGGAGAGACCGTCTTAGTGTGGGGTGCAGCGTATCAATGCTACATACAGTAAAGAGAGACCGTCTGAGTGTTGGGTTCAGCATATCAATGCTACATACAGTAAGGATAGACCGTCTTAGTGTTGGGGTGCAGCATGTCAATGCTACATACATTAAGGAGAGACCGTGTTAGTGTGGGGTGCAGCGTTCAATGCTACATACGGTAAGGAGACTCTCTTAGTGAGGAGTGCAGGGTTTCAATGCTACATACAGTAAGGAGAGACCGTCGTAGTGTGGGGTGCAGCGTATCAATGCTACATACAGTAAAGAGAGACCATCTTAATGTGGGGTGCAGGGTTTCAGTGCTACATACAGTAAGAAGAGACTGCCTTAGTGAGAAGTGCAGCTTATCAATGCTACGTACAGTAAGGAAAGACTGTTGGTGAGGAGTGCAGCGTGTCTGTGCTACATACAGTAAGGAGAGACTTTCTTAGTGAGGAGTGCAGGATATCAATGCTACATACAGTAAGGAGAGACTGAGGAATGCAGCATTCAATGCTACATACAGTAAGGAAAGACTATTACTGATGAGTGCAGCGTTTTAATGCTAGATACAGTAGGTGGAGTGCTCTATGCTGCAGGGCGGAGACTAAGTGAGGAGCACTGCGCATCAATGATATATACAGTAGGCAAGGGGAAAGCTGTCAGTCTTAGTGATGAGTGCAGTGTATCAATGCTACATACATTTGCGGAGAGACTGTCTTCATGAGAAAGGCAGCATGTCAGTGCTAAATACTGCAGAGCAGCACTTTTCATGCCCTGGTTATCAGTATGGTGACATTATGTGGGTGTAGGAGAACATTTGGCATTGTGGCAAATATTCATACCAGCATAACAATATATTCCAACTGATATATTGGATAACTTGCTGACTGCTAATAAAGGGTTAATAGGCAAAACTGTATGGTTAGCAAAATAATTTCATTTGTTTCCACCCAAGGCCAACAGATATTACTGCTCACCCTCCTGCAAGATAATGGCTTACAAAGGGTATTATATTGTGATAAATGGTAGATGGGGGGGTAACTTAAAATTTTTTTTGTTTGCATTTGATAATTGGTATATATGCAAATTTCCAAACACACTGTCTCTCAGAATCCATTTGTACTGCTTCTCCCTCTATTGCAATAAAGACGTGATTCTAGTACGTAATGATTTCACTACTCCAGCCTCTGACTGGTTAATTGGAAAAGGCTTTTTCAGAGTGTGTTGGCTATTTGGCTAACAGCACTGAAAGGGTTAAAGCCTGCCCTGAACTATTACATGCTAAGCAATTGTTGGAGGTCAAACCATTGGATTAAGACATGGTTAGTCACTAATGTGACTATTGTTTTGGGTTGACATTTGCCAGGTCCCACCTGATGCCTTCTCCTGCTTCTGGCCTTCCTGAGTCCTACAATCCACTTCCAGACAGGAACTCCTTGGTTGGCTGTGAATGTGCTCAGCTGACACGATCGTCAGTGAATAATCACCTGCACTGTCCCCCAGCTTCCCCTGTTTGAAATCATTGGAAGAAGGGTAGGTGCTCAGCAGCACCCAGGTACGTTTTTGTTTTGTGTTTTTTTTATATGGCTAAAACTGTGTGATCAATTATGCTAGGTTGGCACGTGGGCACTCTTGGTACCATAACTATGACCGTGAACTGCAGGGGTTATGGTGCATAGAGTGCTTCTTTAATAACTATAGGAATTGTTGAGAAGTTACAGGCATTGTACAGTTTTGGCAAATGCAGTCAGTGTGAAATAATGGTTTAATTTTTCTCTAACTGGGCGATTTTAGGCGCGATCTAGATCTAAGCACAGCCGATATAGGGCCAAACTCATTGGCTGAGAGCACTCACTCACACTCTCAGCCAGTGGCTCTGCTTAGCTCAGTAGAGATAACTAGATTATTTTAAAAGAACAGACCGCTCAGCAGGCCCAGGTAAGTAGTTATAGTGTACTAAAACAGCCTGATGAATTACACCTGGGAATACTCCTGACCCTATTGTTTAGTGGTTATTGGCAAAGGGAGCAGGGGTCCCACACATAAGATATCTGCATTGTGTTTCATCCTTATTTTTATTATTCTGTCTATTTTAATGTTTATTTTTTTTGTAATATATCTACAGTTATTTATATCATGGCTTTTGAGTGTCACTAATGAGACTATACTTCTAGGGGACAAATCATGAAGCATGACAGAAATCTATAGTGTGATAGTGATGACAGCACTTTACTGATAACTATGGTGGT